CTTCGAAATACTCCCAGAGAATTGATAGACATCGGGGATGGAAGTAGAGATGACATTGAAACAAGATCAGAATGTTTACCTCTACTACCACAAAACTTAGATGAAACTATCAGTAATACAACACAATTTCAATGGGTTCGGGAGGACGTTGATGAAGATATTTATGACAACTGACATTACATAAGACTGTTGTACGATTTTTATATCTTCATTTATTTATTTATAATGTTATAACCCTTAACATGTTGTCTTTCAATGTATTCATTAATTAAATTATTTTTTTATTACTCATGTTTGTTTATTACAAATATAATGCAGAGGAGAAAAATAACTGATTTTTGGGTTGTTCGAGCTTCTGAAGACCATGAAGAAAGAAATAACGAGGAAACGAATGCACCTGAGTCTTCCGAAGTTCCTGAAACTGTTGAAGAAGTAGAAATTCAAGGTAATCTTCGAAACTTTATTTACTATGTTAATTTTCAAAACTGACATTTAATAGTTTCTTATATAGTTGAAAATGCTGGAACGCACAAGACTCGAGGACGTACAACTTTGAAGGAATTATACCAACTTCCTCCTGGGCATCGTGTCAAAGTTTCAAGAAACGATGCCGGTCAACCTATTGGCCTAGAATCACGTCTTCTAGCAGGTTACTTAGGCATAGTTAGACGTAATGCAAATCTATTACCGATCAATTATGAGTCATGGCGCGAAATGCCTAATAGTAACAAAAATCAAGCGTTGGATTTTGTTAAGGTAATAATGTCATTATAATAGATACTCTATAGAAATTCAATACTAATTTATACTTACGGTGCACACTTATTTGCTGTATAGGAGAAATTGGTTTTAGAGGTCTCTGACGATTATGTGAAGCAAGCATTAGGGAAGAGATAGAGGGACCACAAGAGCTCCTTAAAGAAGAAATACTTCAAGAATAATCTCAGCCTTGAAGAGAAGTTGCAAACAGTCCCACCAGGAATGCTCAGGTACCAATGGGAAGATGCAGTCAGATTTTGGAGTTCTAAAAAAAGGATAGGTATGATGTATTTTTCATAAATACTTGTAACGAAATTTAAATCATCATTATAAGTGGTTGTTTGGCATTGTAGGACCGAGAGCATGTTGGTGTTGCTAGCAGACAACAACAAAAGTTTACACACATGGCTGGATCGAAGAGCTTTGCTTGTATAGCTCATGAGGAGGTATTATAGATTATTGAAATAGTTTTTTTGTATTTCATGTACATACTAACTCATAATAATTACATTATGGTACATTGTAGGAAAATACATCCGGTTCTAAAGTTGGTCGAATCCAACTCTTTGACATGACACATACGAAGAAGGATGGCACTCCTATGACTGCTTCGAGTCAAGGTATTGTTAATGATGATGACATTGAAAACCAAGCTATTAATGACGTTTTGGGTCCTGAAAGATATGGTTGGGTGCGCTGTCAATGATCATTCGTTACTCCCACCAATATTTTGGATCCCGTTCATCACAGTCAGTCTCGATCTTCCCAATTAGAAGTTGGTCGTTTAAAAGAAAAGTTGCCTGAGATGGATCAACAAATGGCTAACTTGAAAGCGGAAAATGAAGCAAGGGAAGCAAAGAGAGCAGCAGTGGAAGCAGCTAGAGCAGCAGCGGAAGTAGAGAGAGAAGCAGTGGCAGCACAGAGAGAAGCAGCGACAGCACAGAGATGCGCAATATATCAGCAGAGATGTGAAGAATTTGAAAAATGACTCAATGATATGATGCTGATGATACAAAAAACGCAACCTCGGAATCCACCATCGTAGCCTCATTTATGTTATGAGCATTATGTTAATGTTACTGAACCGTGTTTAACTTAACTTATATTACGTTAATGAAAACTTTATTTTATTATATTGGATTTGATGTTGCTTGTTATGGATATAGAGTTTGATGTTATTGCTGTTTTATTTGTTGGATAATGGAACAGGTTGAAAAAATAGATTTGGGGTATTAAGCATAATTTTTAGAACTGTTAAATTCTGTGTTATTTAGCGGCGTTTGTAACAAAACAACGCCGCAATATACCATACATTTAGCAGCGTTTGTGATAAAAATACCGTGAAATCTCAAGACATATTGCGGCTTTTGCGACGAAAACGCCGCTAAATATCAACATCTTCTGCGGTGTTTGTGGGAAAACGCCGGTAAAAATCAACACCTACTGCGGTGTTTGTGAAGAAAACGCCGCTAAACATCAACACCTATTGCGGCGTTTGTCTGCCAAATGCCGCTAAATATCAACACCTATTGCGGCGTTTTTCTGTCAAACGCCGCTATATGTTATCACCTATTGAGGCATTTTTTGTTGAAAAACGCTGCGAACTTTAGCGGCGTTTGTCTTTATACCACAAGTGTTTTTAACGGCGCTTAAAAACGCCGTTATAAGTAAAAAAAATGCCGTTATAAGTAAAAAAACGCCGCAACAAGCCACTTTTGCTGTAGTGAGTATATATTTGTTTTATGATATGAATTTGAATAATATTATTTAAGAAAAGGGCAAATTGTAAGGTACGTCAATGGAGAAACTAGAGCAGGCCAGCTCAACTTCATCATCAAAGACAAATACTAGCAAGAAATAAAGCAAATTATAAGCTACATCAATGGAGAGCCTCGAGCAGGCCGATTAGACTTAATTGACAAAGGCCCAATTTTGTGTCGGAACCATCCTTAAACCTCATGTCCGATTTATTTTAAAAATATGGAAGTCGCCCATCAACCATTTATAAAATAAAGTAATTTTAGTAAAAAATTTATTTTACTAAAATACCAATTTTGGTCTACGAAATTAGAAAATAATTCGATGAGTCAATTACGTATGGGAATGATTAACACCCCCACAATACCCAAATTGGTACGTACTCGATTACCCATTGTTTTAATTTGGAAATTTACGAGTTCGAGTTTTTATTTAATTAATGATCCATCTTGATGTAATTTCTGAAAAGGTTACTAATTTATTAGAAACTAATAACAATCCTCCCCAAGCATAAGAGAAAATTATATCATCAATCCCTAATAAATAAATATTACCTTGATTTTAGCAAATTTTATTATACTCGAATAATTAAAAAAATAGAACCCAGAGCACATGCAAGAAGTACTTTAAATTATCCCCTAATGAATCTAGATGAAGGCTTAAATAAAAAAAACGAAAAGTTGTCTAAAGTCAATAACTTTAATCTAGGATTGAAATCAAATAATCTAAAAATTAAAGGATAAAATTAAAAGGAATTTATACATACAATATATATATATATAAATTCAAAGAATAAAAATAAAGGAAATTAATTAACTTAGGAAAACAAAGAGAATTTAAATTACACTAAAATTTTAATCCAATAGCACAAATTAGGGAATAAAATAAACAAGGAATAAGAGAAAGAAAAATTAGGAAAATAAAATATTGGAAACAAATGTAGAAACCATATTTTTAAAAAATTAATGAAAAAATTAAAAAAAGAAAACTACTCGAATCAAGAAAATAAGATTTAAAAAAAAAAATAAAATTAAAAAATAAATACGAGAACTTGAATTATCTCATACCCGTATAAAAATAAGTGGATCCCATAAGGATACAAATCGGATCATCATGTTAATTAACATAATTCAGCACTCAAAATAAAATATATATTTTTTAAATTATAGACCAAAAGGAAAAAAATCTCATTCAAGATTCATGACCGATTTTCATCGAGAAACCTCAAGGAATGCTAAATCTCTATAAAGATATATTTGAAAGTTTTTTCTTTGTTTATCAATTTATTCTTATCCGACAGAGTTTTAAAAGAAAAAAAATTGAAATCGATTAAAAAACCAATAATAAAAGAAAAAAAGAAAGACAATTACCTTCAAACAAAAATTCTTTTTATTGACTTGTATCTTTCAAATTACAAAACTTAGGGTGACTCTCTTTTCTTTTCTCCTCCAAAAAATTCTCCTCCCCATTTTTTACATAAGATAAGTACCTATTTATAGGCTCTCAAAAACCCTAAAAGGGAAAACTTTAGCATCTTTTTATTAATGCTAGATACATTAGTTAAAGAAAAAAAAATACTAAAATAATAAAAAAATTCTAAATTCCCCCAAACTATGGAAAGTATAAGGCTAAATTTAATTACAAATATTCAATAAAGTAACTGAAAATTCGTAATAAATTAAAATCTTCGTATTGAGTCCGCATTCAATTTTCTGCACTCGTTTTCTTCGCTAAAATAAGCATATCTTGAGTTCCCGATGTCTGATTGAGACATTTCAAAATGCGTTGAAAAACTAATTGAAAGCCGATTCACTTTCAAGAAGATATCATACCCTAAAGATGTCTGGATCTTGTCCAAAAATTTATGGCAACTCAATTGATGTATCGACCTTCAAAATTTGCTTCAATAAAAATGTTTGTTAAGGATAGGCCGGACGAAAATTGAGTATTACATTTGGTATTTGGGTGAGTAATGCTTAATCACATATTCTAAAATATGGATTTCTATCGAGATAAAAGCACATTAGACGGGGAGCTCGGAATGGGCATGGATCGGGTTGGATTTTTGGTTTACCCGACCTGACTCGAGAATTATGACTCCTCCACCCGTAATCCGACCAGTCCCGCATAATATATACCCTCCACCCAAACTGACCCGAAATAATAAAAAACTATTATTTTATTCAATATAAACAGTAATAAAAACAGTGATTTAATTGAAAAAATAATATATAGAGGGGTATTATTATAATTATTCCTAAATATATAAAGTAAAATTATATTTTTCTGGATCGAATATTTTTCACCCTAAACCCGAACCCAAACTGACCCGAACACCACCTATAAAAAATTCTAACCCAACCAGACTCAAACCTGGAATTTTTTTTATAAAAAACCCGACTCAATCGAATCGGGTTTCGGGTCCTTTGCCCATCCCTAGGAGATCAAACAAGTTAGCAGACCGTTTAACGAAGGGAGTGCAAATGGACTTCGCAAAGGAAACTTATCTTACACCACCGGAGGCAATACGTCCAGATCTCCATGCAGACGGGACAAGGAGGGGATTGGTTAGGTAGATTTCTTTTCATTATTCAAAATAAAAATAAAAATAAAAACAAAATCCTGGAGTTCAGAATGTCTCTAAAATTCATTGTTTGTTAAATGATTACAAATCAAATGATTGTCATTTTGAAATCAAATTAATTTATAAACACTGGAATTCGATCAAATCATATTTGTTGAATATGTATATTAATCATGACGGTCCAAGATTCTTCTTTCGGTGTATTCAACAACATAGGACTGACTCAATCATTCAAGTGCAAATTGATGCACAAAATATTTGATTGAGGCGAACACATTTTGCTTTGCTGGTAGTTGCATGATATAATATCTTCAATCTTCCACATGATACAATCAGCTGGTTCCAACAACCATACTAAAAGTTTTTTCTTTAAATATATATTTGAGGATTTGTTCAAAGATATTGCTTAATTCATCATCTAAGCCGAAGACCACTCACATTAACAATCTATTTAGGTCAAGTGGATAGAGTATAGTAAATAAAAAAATTTTGTTCAAAATTCTAAAGTGAAAAAATTATTTTATGTTTATGAATTTGATTCGACTCAACTTTAAATATAATCGTGTATGATGCTTCCTTTATCCAAACAAGCTGTGCTATTCCTTTTCCACCGACCTTGGCTATTTGAGTAAGAAATTTTCAAGTTGGATGACAGTAAATTGCTATATGTGTCTACAAAACCCCCTTACCCACCCTTCCGTTCCCTTCATAGCATCACTCTCATTAAGTCATTGAGGCATTTCCACAAACATTGTTTTTTCTCAAAAGAAGCTTTCTTTATTTACTAACATGGTCAGACCACAACAACGATATCGAGGTGTTCGACAAAGGCATTTCCGAAATTCGCCATCCTCTCTTGTAAGTTCAACCCTGTTTCAAAAACCATGAACGTTTTAGTCCTTCTACTTCATTGTGAGCACTAAGTAAAGGATGTTCCTTTTGGTGCTGGAAAATTAGAATTTGGCTCGGGACATTCGAGACAGCACAGGACGCGGCTCAGGCCTACGACGAAGCAGCGAGGCTTATGTGTGGACCGAGGGCTAGAACCAACTTCCCTTACAACCCTAATTCACCTCAATCATCGTCATCCAAGCTTCTCTCTGCAACTTTGAGAGCTGAACTACACAAATGCTACATGGCTTCACATCAATTGATCAAACAACCAACTGTGCATGAACCGCAAAAGAAGGCAATTACTCCACATTTTATCGACAACAATGGCGTTGCAGGGAGAGACAGTGGAATGGCTGTTCAAGTTCGACTGCCGGAGAAGAGAGCATTACCAGTTCAAGAGACAGAAGCCAATTGGACTGTCAAGAAATCTCAAGTTGAAACCACCCAACAGTTCAACTTCAAACCACTTGAAGAGGATCAAATTGAACAAATGATTGAGGAACTACTTCACTATGGATCCATTGAACTATGCAATGTCTATCCATAGGATCAGATCACCAAATGTTAAGCAAATAAAGGCTTACTTCCAGGCTAATGGCACTGATTGGCTAATTTAACCTATTTTGTTAGGAGAGACAGTGGAATGGCTGTTCAAGTTCGACTGCCGGAGAAGAGAGCATTACCAGTTCAAGAGACAGAAGCCAATTGGACTGTCAAGAAATCTCAAGTTGAAACCACCCAACAGTTCAACTTCAAACCACTTGAAGAGGATCAAATTGAACAAATGATTGAGGAACTACTTCACTATGGATCCATTGAACTATGCAATGTCTAGTCCATAGGATCAGATCACCAAATGTTAAGCAAATAAAGGCTTACTTCCAGGCTAATGGCACTGATTGGCTAATTTAACCTATTTTGTTGGCAACCCTGAACTGTTTATCGAGGTGCAGTAGACCCTATCTTTAGGTCGTAGACTCTTGGTGTCTACCAGGTGATGATGCTTAATGTATAGTAAGCTCTGTACTTATGATACTACGATATAATCATCTGCTCTATTTCATTTCGGTTGTGGATTTTGTGGATCATATGACATGGTTTCGAAGCCTGTCGAGCCAAACCCATGCTATTCTTTTCTATTCAATCCCCACAAAAAAATTATACTTTAAGGAAGCTACCTGTAAAGCATTAGTTGGCATTATTTTAACTTCTCTCAAACAGTAAGCAGTATTCACTTTCTAAATATTAGGTAAGTCAAAGCTAAATTAACAGCCACCCATGATTCATGAATGAGGAAAATAGTCCACTTTTTTTATAGTTGGACGAGGAGAACACTTCAAACCCTAAACGAGGATGCGTTTGTCATCTAATCAATGGGACGATGGAATTATCAAGCCTTGATCGTACTTAAAATTGTCTCGAGTTACACTCTTAAACTACAAATCTCTTAATTGTATTTTTTTCATTCACAAATACTCGAATTAAAAATTTTACTATGGTTAAGTGGTAAAGTTGTGTTTAGTCGCTCCCAAATTTGCATTATGCAATGAAGCCCTTTTGACAGCTTGGTGAAATGGAAAATTTACAATTTTGAAGTAATATCAATTATTGTTTTGGGGTGGTTTTTGGTTTCTGGTTTCTATCAATGGAATTCCATGATGGGTCATCTGTTTGGGAATTGATTTTGCTCCCCACAAACATCAAAGATGAAAATTAAAGTTGTTTTTAATCTCATCATATTGTTTTACTTTTGATTCAGCAAAGGTGAAATATTTAAATCATTGCATGTTAGTGAGTTTACCATCATTAACAGTTTGAAACTTTTTGGGTCACCTTTGGCCATTTTAGCCCGACCTACCACTCTCCTTATCTCAAGAAACATGCTTCAACACCAGCAATGTGCAATGATTTCAATGAATAATTGCCTGATAAGTTTGCAAATTTGACACATTTTTGGCTCTTCACTTATCGAGTCTCAAACCAACTAAGAATGTAAAACAAGGGAAAGAGCAAGCAAAAAACAAATGGTCTCTCAATTCCAAAAGCAGAATCACAATTCCTGCAGTGAGGATCAACCACCATATTCATCCTCAACAGCCTATCTCTCGTACTAAACCTGTCAAGAATAGCAAAAACAAGGGAAAGAATGTTGAAACAATATGATAATTTTTTTACCAATAAGCTCTGTTGTAGGATCCTATCGTTGTCGTACAAGTTCTCACTGTAAAAGGCAAATGGTCCCCTTCACCATAGTGTCAATTGAAGAAGAAGCAAGAACCCACAAGAGTGAAAGGTGAGATCTTGTTGAAAGAAAAAGTAGTCAAAGCCAATCATGGTGTATACAATCTGACGTGGAAAAGTAGTGAGGATGACTGTGATGGACTACGGTTTAAACGATTTTCTTAGAGAATCTAGTTAACGAAGAATGCTTATATGATCTGATATAAAACAAGTGATTTGTTGAGGAAAACAGGTAACCGAGTTCTACGTTTATATTTGGATGTGAATGGAGGTTTAAGAATATATTAGGGCTCTTAGCATTATGTCAGGATTGTCTCTTCGAAGCTTAAACCCATTTATGTATGTTAAAGTTGGGTTCAGCCTTACAAATGCACACCAACACGAGCTGAGTCACATGCATAAGGATAAAAACTGGAAAGTACCCTAATTAATTAAGGCGTGTTAGCTGGATTTTAATAAGTGGGAAATGGCAAAGCATCTTGTTAAGAATTTTGGAGAATATTTAGGTAAAGAGTTATATATTTTTCCCGTGGCATATATATAATCCGACAGATGAAGGAAATTAATTATGGCAGCTGGTCTTAACCACCAAGTCATGTGAAAATGAAGTAGAAAGATCAAATTCAAAAATTTGACACGAGTGAAGGACTAATTCCAGAATTATACCATTTAGAGATAATTTTTAAAAGGGAACTGTGGACTATATTTTTCAAAGTGATTAACTAAGCAACTTGGATTTGTTAAAGAAGTTTACTTAGAAAATCTAATTCTCTCAAAAACCTTTTTTTTAAGAGAAAATCAAGATTTGTGTTGTTTGATTGTAATAATTGGCTAAGAAGATCGAGAAGGATTTGGGTTGGGGACAGTTGAAGTTGGTCCTAATATTGAAGATTGCTCCCTTGGATGTGCTTCTACTTCTTTCCTTTCTTGAGGATTTCAACTTGTTTTGCTTTCCTCACCTTTTATCACTTAATTCTGGCTTCTTCTCTCTTTTTTAAAATTTTTTGCTTAATCACTTAATTGATCTACAACACAAGTTGGAGGGAGAGAGAATAAGAAGCACGGACATCATTTAAATTATTAAATGATTTGATTGTCAAAATTAAAAGATGGATTGTTAAATTAGAATCTATCACAATTAATTAAGTGATTATGGATGTAATCCACCCAAAATATTTCAAGTCTATTTGTTGTGTCTTTGTATTTAGCTTCCAAATAGCCCTCGGAGAAAACAAACCTGAAAACTCCTTGTGATAATCACAAACAAACAAATTAAATAATATCCCTTCAACATTACCGCCATTCCTCCTCCTTCCCTTCCTGCTTCCGCCCTTCTGCCATTGCAGACGACCACCACAACTCTGGTAAAACGAACATCACCGCCATAAGTCTCTACAACACAAAGCTAGGCCTGTTTTCCCTCACGTGGTCCCGCACCTTCTTCGGCCACTCCCTCCGCCTCTCCACCGTTCCTCTCACTATTCCCCCTATTCTCCTCTCTCGGTTCATCCATCTCTTTCTAACCCCATACTCCAGTTCTATCTCAATTTCAACTCCTTTGCTTTTTGGAAGAAAAATGGTTGTGCAAAGGTCAACTGTTCAACAGTTCCTAATGCGGTGCTCTTCTGGGACCTTTCCCGGGCGAAGTTCGGATCCGGACCTGAGCCCGAATCTGGATTCTTTGTTGCCGTTCTTGTTTGTGGCGAAATGATGCTTCTTGTTGGTGACGATATCAAAGAAGCATATTCCAGAACTGGAGCTAAAAAGCCTAGGAGAAGCCAAGGTCTTGTTTAGAGAAGAGAGCATGTATTTGGCAACAAAGTGTACAATACAAAGGTCAAATCCGGCAGCGAAGTGAGGGAGATTTCGATCGATTGTCTGGTAAACGATGACACCAAGCTTTGTTTCAGCGTCGATGGCAGAAGGGTGTTGCAAATTAAGCGGCTTAAATGGGCCTTTAGAGGCAGCGAGAGGGTTGAAGTTGATGGGGGTTTTATACAAGTCTCGTGGGACGTTTATAATCGGTTGTTCGATAAAGATTTGAGCAAACGGAATGCGGTTTTTGGGTTTAAGTTCGAGAACGAAGGCTCAGAGATTGTTGAAGATGATCATCGACGGCCGGAGAGTGACGAAGCTATGGATTATGAGAAGACTGTGTGCGTGTAGTATCGGCATGAATGGAACTGAATGGAGAAAGAGGAGTAGAAGGTTTTTGAGGTGTGCTAGAACCTCATCGTCTTCTTTGATATCGATGTCTTCAACTTCTTCGGGTGGCAGCTCATCGGTAATGGAGCGGGCAAGCGTGGAGGAGTGCGAGTTAAGTGCTCCCACTGGCTTCTCTTTGGTTGTTTATGCATCAAGAAACTGATGATTTTCCCATTGCTCCCTATTTTTCAATTATGATCGTTTGGACAGAATTTAAGATTATCATATGAATAAAAGATAAGAGATTAGCATGGAATAGAATTACTGTAATGTTATATTTTGTATTTGGTTGATTTAGTAGAAATGTAAGATTACCGTGTTTAGTTAAAAGAATAAAAGATTATTGGAATGTATATTTGACTAAATTGTTCTTATTATATATTTATTTTTTTAACAAGTTGAAAAATATTTATATATTTTCTTTAAAAAATTTAAATTCAAAAAATTTATATAATTTTTTGACAAAATCGAAAATATAAAAAGGTTTAATTAAATAGTAAAATTTTATTTTAACCCCTAAACTTTATATTAAATTTTAATTATAATTTTTTTTGTAAATCTAAAATAGTTTAAGTATAAATTTGTAAGTTAACCATCATATTTTTATTATTCAATAATAGAATAAAGATATTTTTGGAAAAAAAAATTAAGGGTATTTTAGTCTAAAACTCTGGTAATCCAACAATACCTAAGGGAAGGAGATAATGACATTCCTGATAATATACCCAAAAAATCTACTATTGGTAATCTTACATTATCGGGAATGAGATTCTCGACAAACCAAACGAGGAAATGTGAATTTCATTTCCATGAAATCTACCAAACAGCCCCTAAGAGAGGTTACTTGTACATTTTACCTTTTAAGAAAATTTCTTTTACTTATAGAAAAATAAGTTTTCAACTTATATTAATTTTTATTTAGGTATCTAAATTATTTTTTTATTTTTTTAATTAATCACTGATATTTAATCTATTGACCGACTAATCTAAATCGGGTAATGCATAGGCGAGAGCGATCCTCCCAATTCAATTTGCTACATTCACAAAACCCAGGATTCGAACCCCTGGTCTTGCTTAAGGGACTTAGTGTCTCATCCCACTAGATCAATTGATTGTTGGTAAATTATTTTTTATTAATTTATATAATTAATATTATAAACATTATCATTTTAAGTATTCGACCGTAACGATCATTAAGAAATCCCATTAAATGACATGTTTCATATTCTGATAATTTTAAATATTTTATGTTTAATAAAAATAAAAATAAAAATAAATTACTATATTTTAACAATATTTTGGGATTAGAATAAATTTTTTTAAAGTTTTGAGTTTCTTTAAAGATTTTTGATAATTTTTTTACAAAATATATTTTAAAGTTTTTTATTTTAAATAAAATCTCTAAAATTATCAAAATGTGTCACGTGTTAATTAAAAAAATTAAATAACCGTTATAATTAAAACACGTAAAACTATAATATTTGTAACGTTAAACACTTAAATTTATCTAAAATTAGTTTAAGTACATTAATGGAAAGACGATATAGTTTAAATATTTATTTTTATATTAAATCTTTCTTTTATTTATACAAGGTACCTTTACTTTAATTAAGTTTCCAAATTAGTCTAGGCTTTTAGAATGCCAAACTTTATTAATAGATAAATATGGCATCGCATATAGGTTGGTAGGTTTAATTCGAATTTTGGTTCCTTTACTATGATTAAGTTAGAAATTTAATCTCTTTATTTTAATTTAAGATAATACGGTCCTTATGTATCTATAATATCATTAAGTAATTCAATAATTAACACCATTTTGTTTAAATGATAACTTTATTTCGATTTAAAGTGACATACGTAACTTTTGTTGGAAGTGTAGCTCGACACTCGATAATTTTTATAACTCACACTATTATTAATACGAGCTAAAATACAAATACAGCACAAATACTAACAAACAACCCCATTATTGCTAAGCTTCACTATCACTCGATTTTTTTTTTAATTTCTCACTTTAACTTGTATACATACATATATACTTAAGCTATGGACACACATATATATAACTTAAGCTATGGGCACACATATATATAACCTTATTTAACCGTCATATTTACCGCCTAGAATTACCTCCTCAATCTTCTTCATAATTAAGTTTTTCCACATGCAGTTACCACCTCACTTCCTTGTGGTATTGTGCTTCTATTATTTCATTAATCTGTTGCCACGTCTTTGTTTAAAGCTGCTTCAACCTTTCTTGTGTTTTAACATGCTGCCATTTAGTCATCAAAGTGGTCACTTCAATATCCATGTAATTCTTGTTGACATGAGTTTCTAACATATTTTTGTCACATATAAATTCAAATCAGATTTGAATTATAACACTCTCCCTCAAATATGATATTTCATTTTAAACTTTTTTCCCTTTGTTATCTACAATAACTTCTTTATATGTTATTGGATCACTATTCACAGGTAATTAAAAATGTGAAACATTTTGTAATTCATAATCATTGTACTTTTATGGTATCCTTATCTCCCTTGTAAATCTTTGAACTTTTGTGAGAGGTACTTCAGATATTATGTTGCTACCACCATTGCTTTATGACGATGGTGCATTTTGTTGAGGATCTTGATCATCAACTTGTTCATCTTAATTGATAAGATCGTCATCATCTTTATCTTCATTAAAAAATAGTCCTTCAATTTTCTTTTCTTCTCTGCTCCATTTTTAATATTCTGCTTCATCGAACTCGATATCTCTTGAAATTATTACCTTCTTGGTAAGAGGATTATATAGTTTGTACACTTTGTTTCTTTCATCATAGCCAATAAAAATATATTTTTCTTTTATCGTCAAGCTTCTTTCTAATATGTTCAGGAACGTGGGCATATGTGATACACCCAAAAATCTTGAGGTGTCTAACTCCTGATTTCTGACCGCTCCATGCTTTATTGGGCATCATGTACTTAACAATTTTTGTTGGACATTGATTTAGCAGGTAAATTACACATCGTACTGCTTCAGCCTAGAAATTTCGTGGTAGTTGCTTACCTTTTATCATGCTTCTTGCCATGTCGAGAATTGTACGATTCCTTCTTTCTGCAACTCCATTTTGTTATGACGTGTATTTGACTGTTAGTTGATAGATGATGTCATGCTCTTTACAAAAGTCTTAAAATAAAGTTGATGTATATTCGCCTCCTCTATCGATCTAAGTACAACATTTTCTACTAAAATCATCAATAAATGTTAGGTAATACATGTTACCGCCAAGTGATGGTATGTTAAAAGGACTGGCTATGTCAGTATGTACTATGTCCAACGACCTATGAGCACGATAGGATCTACCAACTTCAAAGCTTTGTATGTGTTGCTTTCCTTTGATGCAAGCCTCATATAATTGATTTGGAGGATTGATCTTTGGTAGTCCTTTCACCATACTTGCTTTCGATAACAACTTCAAACCCAAAAATCCAAGATGTTCATATCGTAAATGCCACAATCATGAATCATCTTTGGTCTCATTTTTCATGCACCTGAATTCTCCTGACTCGATGTCAATGGTAAAGAGGAAATTTTGAGTCATATCAACTTAGGCAATTAATTCTCCGTCTTTATTTTTAATAGCAACCGAGCGATTCTTCATTTCCATTTTATATCCATTTTGCAATAGTTGACCAAGACTAATGATATTGATTTTCAAAGTTGGTACATAATAAACATTAGATATGTACTTCTTTTCACCATTTTTTGAGTAATCATGACTTCTCCTTTGCCTTTGACTTTTGCGTGCGAGTCGTCTCCAAATGTTACTCGATCATGGATTGTTTCATCTAATTTCACGAATATCTCCTTTCGACCACACATATGATTGCTAGAACAATTATCAAGATACCAAATATTTTTCTTGAATTCTTCATTTCCTTTTGTAAGTGAGGAATACATGAGATTTTTTAATTTTCTCTTCTTCAACTTCTGCTATGTTACTTCTTTCTTCTTGTTTAGGAGTTGATCTACACTCATAACTATAGATACTTTTTGCAATTATAACATTTTACCAGTGATTTATTTCCTTGTTGATATCTACCTCTACTTCGGCCTCTAAATCCTCGTCCATGACATGATGTTTGGTTATTTTCACTTGTTTGAGTGGTGTCATATGATCGACCACCACGTCCTCATGCTCCTCGTCCACCTTTGTATCTTCCATGATATCCACCATGATTTCCTCGGCCTCGTGTGTAGTTGTTACCGGCTTCACCTTCATTGACATTCATCTTGCTTTCCAAGGCTTATTCTAAATTTTCAGTATATTCATTTTGTTTCATCTTCTGGTCATGGGGTTGAAGTGAACCCACAAGCTCATCGATCAATATTTGAGATAAATCTTTCGATTTTTCGATTGCCATGACCATGTAATCAAATTTTATTTTAATGACCACAAAATATTTTCCATCACTCTAACCTAGTCGAGCGGTTCACCATTTCTTTTAATTTCATTTACTATCGCTTTTCACACGATTAATATAATCATCAACGGTTTCCATATTTTTCATTTTCAACATTTTAAATTCAACTGTAAGAGATTGTAAACGTACCTTTTTCGCTTTTTCGTCACATTGGAGAGATTTTTGTAAAATCTCCCATGCTTGCTTTGCGGTCTTTGCATCAGAGATTTTTTTCAAAGATAGATTCGTCTACTCCTTGAAAATAAAGAACAACACTCATTTATCTTTTTTCGAGATTCTTTCAGTATCTTTTTCTCTTCATTTGACGAGGTTGCTTCTGCTGCTGTATTTTTGGGCTCGACATAACTTTCGTCAACGATATCCCAACAATCTTGGGAACCAAGTAACACCTTCATTTAAATACTCCAATTGTCATAATTCGTCGCTAATCTTGGGATTTGTGGTTGAATCATGTTACCATCTTTTATATCACGTTAAACTCAAACCAAGCTCTATATACTACTTGTTTGAAGCGTAGGTGGACACTCGATAATTTTTATAACTTGCACTATTATTTATACGAGCCAAAATATGAAAATAAAATACTAGCTGTGACTAGTTTACAAACACAACCCACTATAAAAAAGAACTTTACTAATCTTCACTACCTACGGGTATTGGTGGGTGATTCGGATTTCCCACCCTTAACTTTGGTTCCACACACATGTACAAATTATATTATATTATATTAAAATCTATTGCGTGCTAAATTGATTAGTTAAAAATGAGTAAAATTTTAAAGTTTATAATATAATCTGAACACTAATGTATGAGAAGGCATGTTTATTGTTATAAATTATTTTTGGAGGTCCAGCTTTTAAAACAATAATAATAATGGGTTGTTGGTTAAAGTAGGAAATGGAATCAAAGTTCAAACAATGCAATAAAGAAGCTTTCTTTCTTGCTTCGATTTGGGTTATCAATTCTGAGTAAGATAAATTTTTATTGAAAAAGTATGCTTTTAAGATAAATATCAATATTTATGTTTAATGAATGGATTGTGTTATGCCATATGTTTGAAGTAAGGGCCTAGCTAAATGCTAAAATTATGTTCATTCGGTAAATATTAACGATAAATGACTTGATTGACATCATATAAATAATTAAATAATATGTTTGATAAAGTTAAAAGATCAATAATGATATTAAAATATACTCATAATTAAATGATCACTAATATAATTTAACTTAATTTTAACAATGTTTTGGGACAAGAAAAGCTGTTTCTATGGGGTAAGGGACCCCACCTCAACTTGATGTTACAACATCCTCAGATTGATGATAATGAAAGGGACCAATGTCCCCGCCCACACCATCTGGTCCAAGGCAGCACATTCAACCTTAGCCAACCATTACTGTTTCATGGGCTCCTATTTCTTAAACACTTCCCTCGTCTCTCCAGACATGGTTTCCAACTGCAAGAGTGTGCGAAGAAAGAAAAGCATACATCTTTTCCATTCAAATCAAAAAGCATTTTACAGAAGATTCAAACACTGCGAATTTCCGAAGCGGTGGTTTCCATGCCCATCCAAGTAAACAACATAAGTGGGGATTTGCATTTCCTAACGTTATCTACTGTTGACTATACTTTAGTGCTTCAAACTTAAGTTCGAGGTCATAGAGGTATGAATCAATGACGATGATGGAAGACATCGCCTCTGTCTATTACTTACTGGAGGGCCCAAAGGACAAGCTGTCGATGAAGGAGGTATCCTACTCGATTGGCTTCTCAACTTCTTCTCTCCCTGTTGAACCTTACCCTCCGATTTAACTTGGCGAATCTTCGTCTCGTTCAACTCTGCTGGGAGAACACAGTTGCAAAGGAAACCTATACATTCATCACAAATATCATCATTCGATAGTCTACACAGAGAGAACCTATAATTTTACTTCACCGAAAGAACCTGTGCAACAAACAACTCCGCACAATTTGAGGTTATCATTTCGTATCCGACAAATATTTCAATATCGAGAGTATTAAAATCATAAAAAAATTGCAAGACAACAAGCTGACTATGGTAGTTGTGGAACAAGAATGCAACAGAATTATTGGCTCATACGGGTAGTATAGACCATTCATGAATGGTGCTCATTCGACAAAGCTTGCACTACCTCAGTGGGTGAAGTGGGTGGAAGCTGACACCACTTCTTCCTTATCTTGAATTTTTTTTAAACAAAACTTTCTTTTTCTTCAATTTACAAGGCGAATCTACTTTAAAATCGGAAAACATGCTAACCAGAGCAATAACAATAAACTGCAAAACTTCCTTTTTCTTCGGTTTACAAGGCGACTCAACTTCAAAATCAGAAAACATACTAACGGGAGCAAAAACGATAGGCTGCAAAACTTCCCCTTCGATATACATAGCTATATACCAATCTTCTCAAGAAACAATCAAATCATCCACGAATTAGATTTGAAAAGGGGAGAAGTTGATTTCTTACCGAGTCTAGCAAGTCGATTAACCCAGCGCGGAATCGGTTTCCCTGTCAATTTGATACACACATCATTGCAAAAGTGATTGCAGTTCTTAGTGATGAGATGGTAAGTGTTCCCGGAGTACTCTCTAGCAAGTTTCTCCATAAACGAACGGACGTCTTTCGGACCTAAATCCGTCCTTCCAATTAAAATAGATTTCCTAAATGTGAAACCGGGACACTGCCTTGGTTCCACTTCGAAAATTCCAGTAGCTGAATGCTCATGCGCTCCAAAACCATATTCAACTCCATGAACTGCATACCAAGATTCAACATAGTCAAAATCTACTTCAACAGAAATACATGTGTGTGTGTATACCAACTTCATGGATGTATACGCTAATATCTATGAAAGTTCTTTTGCATATATAAGTTTCAATTTCCTTCTTGTTGGTTACTACACCAATAATCAAACAAATAAGGATAGATGGGAAAATAATTGGAAAATTTTCTCACGAAACAAACAGGCTACCCAGATAATGGAAACAAAACTTAAGGCGTGAAAAACCAGAAGTAGCACGAATTAAATAGAAAATACTACAACAACCCACTGTTTCTTTCGTTTCATTTTCTAGCAACACCGAAAATGTAAAAAGAAAACTAACCTTGAACCCCAGAATGATAGATCCCAAGGCCAAGCCAATAAGCATAACCATTAATCGGAGTCAAGTCGTATACGTTCAAGTAAACCGGAACCGATCCAACTTTCTTCTTCCGGGGCATCAACACCATTGTACACAGCATTTTAAGACCCTATTTCTTCACACTTTTTTTTTCCAAGATCGCTATACAAGGAGAGAAAAGGAAAAGTGAGCTTCTATGGGATGGGCATAATAAAAAGGAGAGAAAATCGTATGGGTGAGCGCGGAAATTCGAAATAATTTCCTTGTTTCGATTGAAAACAAATGAATAAAACAAGGAAAAGAAGAATCTTCAACTTGGGTTTTACCGAACGAGAGCCGAAAGCAAGTAATAGCGTACCATTTGGATTGCTTTCAAGTATCCTGGGCCTCGTGGATGATGCTTTGTTTCTCCACTTTTGTTTATATATAATTAAAAACAACAGTAATATTTATTTTTATTTAATCATAATTAGCTTAAAATAGAAGGAACCCAAAGTTTATTATAAATTATATTTTTAACGAGATAGTTCAGATACAAATTTTAGAAATGATATTATTAGTTAGTGGAGAAAATTACTAACTTGGTACATTAAAAATATGGTGAATTACACTTAGTCATTGAACTTTATACGTTGTTTCATTTTGATCATTGAATTATAAAAAAAAATTAATTTTACCACTAAATATTTCAAATTGGATTTTGCATCACTCAATTATTAAATCATTAATGATGTTATGATATGTCTTTATCTTCTTCATTTTTTCTAAAATAATCGTCAACTACTTTGACTATTATCATTGATCAATCATCATTTGTTATTGATCATCATTCGCAGTAAGACTCATACTAGAACATTAGTATATATCTTCTATTTATTCTCTTGAAATTGAGGTTTTATGAAATTTATTCAGAATCAATAAAATTTTAATTACATATTCAACTTTTAATGTTTCGGTTTCTTCCACCTATTATATGATGAAACTAATTTTGAGTTATGTTATTCGTCTTGTCATAAGAATGTTTCTAATTATTTGAATTTCAAATAAACATACTAAACCGTTTAGCTCTGAAAAAACAAATAAATTAAGATTTTTTAGTTTAGTTTGTGGATCAAAAAATTATTTTAAAAAAGTTTAAACTGATAAAGTGGTAGAAAACAATATATGAACATAAAAATATTTAAAAAAACTTAAACAATAAAATGATGTCATAAAAATATTTAATGATTCAATATTAACATTAACGGTATAATTATTTATTAAAAAAATCCAGAGTCTTGATAATTTATTCCCAACTATTGTGCTTTTTATTTTTGGTTGTTTGGCTTTACATTAAAAATCCCGTGCCGTGTGTATATTGTTGGAGTTTTACTTGTCTTCTAATTCTAAGCAAGTTATGAACATGATGATATGATATCTCACAGTATGGAAACTGTATTTAAAACATTATTTTTTTCAAAAGAATTATGTTATTGTAATAATGGAATAGAAATTACAAAATTTCTTATAAAATAAAAAATACACATAATAATAGCTTAAACTTATTAATTAAGTTTTTTTACTGATATTGTTTAAAATAATTAATTATATTTTAGTTTCTTTAACGCCTTTACAACCAAGTTTTTAATAATTGATGAATAAAAGGGACAAGATTAATAAAAACAATTGAACTTTTGAGTGGGTGGGAGCTACTAATATCGCTTAATGAGAATGCACTGCGTGTATAAAAAAAAGCATGAAAAAAGTTATTTAATATTTGTATATGAATGAATTTTAAACACCGACTCTTGTGATGAAATAAAAGTGGGATTAGGGGGGGAAGAACGTGGTTAAATAGTACAAGTATCGTGGGGTTGGTTTCTGTGTAGTATTGCACTGCATCAGACTGGAGCCTAACACCCCACGGCTTCTCAATTATCGCTTTTCTGGCATTTTGCTTTATCTGTGTGGTGGTTAACAAACATCTTCCTGCCAATGCCATGAATTTTCTTCCACTTAAGTGTTGTTTTATTCTAAAGTTTTTGAATTCGAGTAATTTTATTTATAGAATGTCTTTGTCATTAATAATTAAAAAAAATTTTAAACAAATATTATATTATAATCATCTAAATATTATTATTTTTTAAAAATGGAGTGCTTTAATTATGAGCTAAACCGGGACAATTTAAAGTAGTAAAATGAGGATTTCATTTTGGTAAACAAGTTTGGGAGCAAATAACCCAAAAAGAAATGTGTTGGGGCTAAGTCGTGAATTTTCCGACCACAATCAAGAAAACGTTGGATAATATGAATATGATCCACGTAAACGTAGGTTTAGCGGGACGCAAACCATAGCTATCCAGTACATGTGGTGAAAGATGAAGTAATTTTGTTGCTTCTCTTTCTCCTTGTCTTACCGGCAAACCTATATTTTGAGCATGTAAAAAATTAATTTTATCGATGCTTTATAATTTTCTTCTAAAGTGTTGAGTTTATAACCCAATTTATATGCACTTGACATTGACAAACATGCAAAGTTTAGTAGGGAATTCTCATAGAATAACTTTATCCGATTTGGTCCTTATTCATGGCAAAGCATAAGTTTATTTAGGGTTAGAAAGTGATCAATCCCTGTGTAAAGCGTCATCGAGTTCTACGTCCAAGCCTACTCGATTGCGGATGGATGTGGAGGCATCGAAAGGTGTTCTGCACTTGTTTTGCAACTCCTTAAACCTCACGACGTCAAACCCATGCTTCTGGAATATTTTTCTTTGCCTCCGCAGGAAAAGCCTCTTCAATAGATCCTGATACGACGGATCTCTTGCCGTGAGCAAAAAGTAAGCATAGCCTATGATAATGCCGGTGGCCGTGGTGAAGAACGTTATCGGTTCCATTACATCCCATGAGAATTCCCAAAATGTTAGCCGGAAGTACAGGCTCACTTGTGCAACAAATAATCCCAGACCACACCAGAGGATGCACCGGACTTGCTTATGTGCCAGCACGTCGATTTCTTCCTTCTTCTCCTGCAACTTCTTTAGCTCGTCTCTTACGGGGTCGTCTTCAGCAGCAAATGCAAGAGGTACTGCTCTTCTAATCTGATCCACAACCTGTGTAGAGTAAAATGCCTTCATATAAATACATTAATTTCGGGTCAGACGAGGGAATGGCATGTGTACCTTGTCCGGATGAAGATAAACCTTGTCGCGGAAAAGAAGCACAACGCCAGCCTCGTCGAGAATTCGTGCAAAACTGATGGCCTCGTCCAGATTTTTGGTAACGCCCATGCTCTCGCAGGCCTTGAGTAACTCCGAATAGCCGATCACCTCTTTGCCTTCCGTCTCTAGCTTTGTCTTGAGTGATTCCACATTGACCAGCTTCATCAGCTTCTTCGCCTCCGCCAACGTTACGCTATCCGTTCCTGCTCTCGTTTTTTTCGAATCAGAGGTTGCATCTACATCAGAATGTGAAGAAGATGACCAAGCTTTTGTGCCGTGGAATACTGGATTGGTTCCCAATGTCACTCCCTCAAATAACAGCCGGTTTTGCGGTGATGGTGGAAGTCTCCTCCCGGCGGCCGCGGACATGCCCTGCTTCAAAGCCTCGCACCAACATAACCTCCTCCACATGCTTCAACTATACTGAGAATGTAGGTATTTGTTTTTAGAAATGTATCTACGTATGTGTTGGAAATTGAGTATATGATGAAGTGAGGAATTGGTGGTTGTAAACTCGTAAGATGAGTGGATCTTCAAATAAGAAAAACAAACAAAAGAGAAAAGAGGAAAGACCGAGTTTTTCTATGGGGCGGGAGGAAAGCTAGGCTTCATATGTGGATAATGGAACCACTTCTTTCCATTTCTTATAATCTCCTATTAATTATTTGTAGGTATTAATTATTTTTAGATATTAAATGTTATTCCTTAATATCCGTAATTATAGATACTAGATTAAAATGCGTGTTTATTTACATAAAAATGAAATCGCAATTGAAGAATGGCCCCCAGTGCAGGTGGATTCTAATGGAAACCAATGCTTCAATTCTTATAGGGAAGCATATGATATGGTGATGAAGTGGAGCTAAGAAATGTTACAAACGACACAGTACACTACTCTCCACCAAACACCCACAGGCAAAGCCAGATGCTTCCAGCAATGTTAGGTTAGTTGATGTCCTCCCACTTATTCTCAAAACTAAGCATGCAAACCTCACATCCATGGTGCCCGCAGCATATATGGTAATGTTCTTTATCAGCTGGTGCAATCATGCTTGACCAGGAAAGTCAATGATCTAATGACAGTTTGGGCTCGTTCTACTCTTTTCTCCACTTCGGACGTAAAACCTACGAATGCTAGTTTAGAAGATGATATTCAATGAAAAGGGCCAAAAAGTGGATGCTCTAAGTCTCGATAAAACTATAGTGGTGAAAGATGCACCGCGTCTAGATCAATATGATATTCAATGACATTCAAATCTTATGGACTGTATTGTATGACAAATAATGACGTTTGTACGAGCCAAAAAGAGAATGTAAAGAGAAATTATTAGACCCTAAACAAATATTCTTTCTTCTGATGTCAAAAACGCTGTTACGAGGTAAGCAGAAATTAACATAAATAAACTGAGAGGAAATACCAAAATAGATGAAGGGACAAAATCCAAATTGATAAGATGCCAATAATTAAAATTATTATTGAGACACTAGGTGCATAATGCAAGCAAAAGAGAGAGGTCACAACTAAATCAACAATCTTTTTTTGCTAATGTGTACAAGAAGAGGTAAAAAGCCTCACTCTCTAGTAGTTTACACTTTACATAGAATCCATCAATCTTTTCCCAATCATTTTCTTCTAATTAGTACTCTGTCCACTCTCTACTCCTATGCCATACAGTACACCTGCATATTTCTCTGTCGAGCCATTGAAGAAGTTCTCTCTCAACTTCCTAAATGTGCATGACGTGAGCAAACTATCCGACCCAGCTTGATGACACACACCAACTCTTTCCACTTCTAACAACTCTGCGAGCTTGTTCAAACCACCATGAAGGCTATTACAAAACTTCATCATATGCTTGATATCGTACACCATGGGAAAATATATATTGATCAGATCAAGAAACCCCGCTTGAGTATCGGGCAAACTCCTGCAGGTCAGAAGCTTAAGCAAGTATCCGAAGTCATATCCACTATGAAAGGTAACCCAATGCACACCATCATTCAGCACGATCCCAGACGACATCAAAAGCTCACCGAACCGCCTCACATCAATACCCTTCTCATTATTCTTCTTAAAATCAATCCCACACTGGTGCAACAACTCGATCGAATCAATAGCAAAGATATCTTCGTTTAATTTAAATTCTCGGAAATTGAATTGCCAAATGCACAAACTGTCGGTTCCACAAGTGGGAAGGTTCCCATTCTCGTCTGAAAAGGTCAGACCCAATTGGATCAATTTCAGCATATCCACGTTATCTTTCAAAGTCTGGTAGTTATAATCATTAATGTTCTTGAAAGTTCCAACAGGGCGTAGAACTACACCCGGGAACTCGGTATCCATAGCCACATAATTGTGCGTATCAATAATTTCACGGATCAAAGCAAACTCTTCCTCTAGGTTATCGTTCCAAACTTCTCGGATGTGAATTGAATCATCTTTGGGCGAAGCCGACATTTCCACAGAAAAGCTAAAGAATGCAGATATATGAACAAAAAATAAGCACGTCCTTATTCCAAACCTTAAAAATCTGAAATGTCTTGAGTTGAGCTCCCAGAGTCGTTGCGTCCCTATGTCGGAAACTGAATCTGTGAATAAAGGCCAAAATTTCAGATGATTGAGCTTTGAACTATGGGGAATTCGAAATGAAACCCTAGAAAAGAGAGGAAGAATGAAAGAAAATGAAAAGGGGACGAGATCTGACCTTGAATTTGTGAAATCGATCCTTTTCAAAAACAGATATAGAGCTCAGAATGAATCGTGTTCGGGCGAGTAATTTGGGTATAAGAATCAAAGTAAACGGGAAGGAATGAAAACTTGTGTCCATTAAATACTAGTGGAAGGAGAATCTCTAAACGATAGCGTTTATGGTCTTTAAACGGCACCGTTGGGGAAAAGAAACTGTCAACAAAGATGTCGTTTTTCGTTTTTTTTAATCACTAGATAAAATCATTGTCTATATTGGATTGTTCTAGAAAATGTTATGGATCATTTTGACACGTCAATGTCTAGTAGAATTTTGTCCTTGCATCTCGATATTTTATAGGTCCTATAGTTTAGAATAAAATATTACAAAAATAGAATATAATTGGCCTACAACATGTGGTTGAAGTAGTGAGTAATTATAACCAACTAGGAATAAGGCTGATGTGAGTATACGTAGGCCATTAAGATGATCTTTGGCCCTCCTAAACAATTGTTAATATAGTCTAGGCTCAGCCTTGCTGATCAACACTAGAAAGTTTGATCTAACAAATAGTTGACCGGTCCAACTACCTGAAACAAAATTTTATTAGCATAATCCCACAACAAACTCCAAACGACACCAATATTCCAATATGCCCAACACAAGGTTATCCTTGTTCACTTATCTGTTTGTCGTTGAATGTTAAATGCGTATTTGTTGATGCAAGTAGATCCTGAAGGAAAATACGAGGCACTCGACAAATATGGGTATCACTTGACTGAGCTTGCTAAGCGTGGCAAACTGGATCCTATTATTGGGCGTGATGATGAAATAAGGCCAATACTATCGAGGCGGACAAAAAATAACCCTTCTATAATTGGTGAGCCTGAATGGTGTGTTTTTCAAGTATTGGTACTTGTGGTGATTCAGATAATTAGAAAACTTTGTTTCATAGTTACAACTTGTTAGGTGAACGATATGAGCTACATCATGGTGTTAAAATATCCGATTGTGCTCAGCCACAGTTCTTGGGGATCACTACATAACACAAAATGTAAAGCGATGGTAACCGCTGCATGAGTAGATTTGTTGTTATTCATCTATCAGACTTAAAAAATTCGGGTAAACGTGCGCTCTAATTTAATTTAGTTATTGATGTTGTTGCTGAAGCTGCTGCAAAGCTTAAGATGGAAATGACAGTGACAAAAGCATCGAAAGAAGAAAGAATTAAGTGAAGAGTGAAGGCTCTCATTGTTGCTCTAACCTTGTGTTTCTTCATGACCCCCTTGTTTGATGTTTATAGATTGATAGAGTTAACCAAGAAATGGAAGCTGCTGCTGAGCTTAAATATGGGATGGGACTCTTCATCGAGAGGACACTGCTTGTGGTGGTCGTTGGTCAATAGTCCTTTTGCACGTTTCTCATCCCCAACTCTCGAGGTGGAGTTCTAAGGAGAGAGCATGAAAACTAGGTTATTATTCTTATGGATATATATTTCTCCTAAACAATACATTGTATGTTTAAAATCACATTCTTCTATGCATTACTATTATTTAATATAAAAATAAAATTCGTCCACTTGATGAGTCTGAATTCTATCACTTATTTGATCTATAAAAACAAGTGAAGAAATTACTTGTGATAGATCAGAATCCAAAGAAGAATAAGTACTTCTGACTCTCTGATTCCACCTCTCTCCAACCCAAACCTTCTTTTTTCCTTTGGCTAATGTGAAAATTTCCACTCTTTCTTTTCTTCCTTCACTAAAAAAATGGCCAAGTATCACAGAAACGACATCGGATCCGTAATCCTCCACAGCCCTTCCACCACCACTACCGGCAACCACTTCAGACTATGTAATGCCTTCTCCGGCGCCTCATTCAGAAGAAAAATCTTCGACGCTGTAAGCTGCGGCGCCAGTTCTCGCCACCGTCATCAGCTCATGCAGAAAATGATCAACGACGCCGCCTCTAATCCTTAGCCGCCGCCTCCCACCACCACAATAAGGTCGGTCTTGAAAGAGTCCAATGAACCCAAAAAGACAGATTTCAAAGTAGTGAAAACAGCCATCAACCATGGCAAACCAGAGAAGCTAGTTGATCTCTTGAACTTGGCTGAAGCGAAAAGTGATGCTGAGACTACGAAAAAGGTGCAAGCTTTGGAGGAGTTGAAGCTATTGGTTAAGGAACTGCAAATAGAAAACGAAGAAAACAAGAGAGTAGCTGCCAGTAGAGTAAGGTTGCTCACCAAAGAAGACCCAGAAGCCAGAGTAACTTTAGCTATGCTGGGGACTATTCCCCCATTGGTTGCAATGCTTGATTTTGAGGATTCTGATTCACAGATCGCTGCTCTCTATGCTTTGCTTAATCTAGGAATCGGAAATGACCAGTGAGTTTCCCAGATTTCCCATCTTTTTGTGTGTTAAAAAAATGGATTCTTTTCTAAATGCTGAACTATTCTTTGGAAGAAAGGAATAAAAAAAAAAAACTCTTCTTTTTGCAGGAACAAATCAGCCATTGTTAAAGCAGGGGCAGTTCATAAGATGCTAAAGCTTATTGAGTCCCCTAATAAACCAAGCCAAGCAGTTTCAGATGCCTTTGTAGCAAATTTCCTTGGGTTAAGCGCCTTGGATTCGAATAAGCCTATCATTGGATCTTCAGGGGCTATCTCTTTCATGGTAAAAACCCTCAAGGTTTTGGATAAGGAAAGTGGGTCTCTAGCAAGACAGGATGCTCTTAGAGCACTATACAATTTATCCATCTCCCCATCAAACATTTCCTTCATTTTGGAATCTGATTTGATACCCTTTCTATTGAATGCATTGGGGGACATGGAAGTTAGTGAAAGAATACTTGCGATATTGAGCAATGTGGTGTCCACTCCAGAAGGTAGAAAAGGCATCAGTGTTGCCCCAGAAGCATTCCCAATTTTGGTTGATGTGTTGAATTGGAACACGACTCCCCGGGGTGTCAAAAGAAAGCATCATACATTCTCATGGTAATGGCACATAAACCATGATTGAAGCATGCATTGTTTCATCATTGCTCGAACTTACACTCTTAGGTAGTACCTTAGCACAGAAGAGGGCTTCAAGAATGTTGGAGGTTTTGAGAGTATATAAAGGGAAGCAAGTTTCGGGGAACTTGGGTAGGAACTCAAGTGTAGCAATGTCTGCTCCGATCTACGGGTCATCTTCCTCTTCGACAAATCAATTAGGAAAAGAGTGCTTGGTGGTGGAAGAAGGGATGAAGACCGAGGAGAAGAAAGCTGTTAAACAATTGGTCCAACAAAGTTTGCAGAGCAATATGAAGAGAATTGTGAATAGGGCCAATTTGCCACAAGATTTTGTTCCATCAGAACATCTCAAGTCCCTCACAGCAAGCTCAACTTCAAAGAGCTTACCCTTTAGACCCAAATATGGATTAGCCATTTTGCCTTTTTTCTTAAAATTTTTGTTGCTTTTTGTCAATGTATGATATATGTATAGCCATTGTCAATATTCCCTCATTGTACTTTCATAATCAGCTTTGTAGAAAGTTGCTGCTTCATGGGAGATTTTGGTGTGTGGCTGATTACCCCTATTTTGGCTCAGTTCAAATCAAGCCTTCAAATTCACCCATGTCTGATCTCCGCTGTATTTTTGATTGAATTCATGAATGGTGTAAATATGGCTATTATATTTAGATTAATGTTATGTCCATCTATGTCCCTATCTCCTACAACCAAGGAGTCATTTACTTTCAACCCCAACGGTCTTTTTTATCCACTGCCACTTGTCCCTACAACACTCCCATTTATTTATTTTCATCACAGGGCAGCTGTGATGTAGGTCATTTTCTTCTCATTCAAACAAGGTCCATTCACTGTAATTTCCATCTGGGAATCTCTGGATTTACAGACTAGAATTCAAATTACAGATGAAGAGGAGGGTTTAACTAGCAACTGGACAAATAGTGACAGGAGGAAGAAGAGTCCGAATTATGGTTTACAACGATATTATTCATCAGAATCATAGATTAAAATTTGTTTGCTCCAATCTCCACCCAAGCCAAACCCTACAATAATGAAGATGGATAACAATGAGAGCTTTGTTAATTAAGCAAGCAAGTGCATCAAATACCCAGGCCCCCACAGCAAGGTAATCGTTGTCATCAACATGTCCTCTTGCTCTGCTTTATTTGTGTTTTCAGGGATTATTTATGGGACAAAACTCTAAAGACATGAAGATTTTTATTAGATTGATATTTAAAACAAAATCTCATCACAAATACATAATTGGCATTAAACGATAAATCAAAACATTTTTTTTCAAAAATCAAAGTACGAGTGGAGCACATGTTTTCTTTCACATTATTAATATAAATAAATACAAAGGAGGCATGATCATATGACCAAACGCAACTTTTCTTATTCCCAATACAAGTGGAATGGACCACGCACTATATTTAATTTAATCTTATAAAACAAAGTTCGTCTATAACACATGGCATGGGGGAAGAGTATACTTTCATGTTGCTGCTAGGACCACTTTCCTATAAAGCACAACATTTTACATCTTATAGGATGCAATTCATGTCATGTGCGAGCCACGGAGTGTGAATATTTTTTATATATATAAAATTAGATATCATATTTATCACATTATTATATCGGTCTAATTATTACTTTGAATGCTGATTTTTGACCAAATCGCAATCTTATTTGCAGAAATTTTGAAAGAGGGCAATGAGTAATATTTGCATGGTATCGTTTAGGATAACAAAAACTTGTCTCAAAAGCATCTATTCATTGCATCTCTGTATTAATAAAAACAAATTCTGCACATCTCAAAATAATTAAAATACATATTTTCTTCAATTCAATTTTTTTAGAAAAAAATAAAAGTCGTTGCATTGTTCGATGTATTTAGAACATAAAATAGCTAGCAACGACGGTTGTTCCAACTCCGATAATCATAGAGAATTTCAACAATGGCAGCACCGTTAGCACTGGGAGCAGAAGCGTAGGAAGGAGAAACAGCACTGCTACCACCTAAACCACAGGTGCACCTGCAGAATTAGCACCACCGGGTGCCGGGGCAGGTGAAGAATCTGACATAGAACCAGAATGAACAAAAGAAAAAAATGAAGACTTGAATATCAATTTGTTACAAAAATTAGACCAGTAATGAAAATAAAACATAATGAACATATAAAGCACCTATAGGGATGGGTCGAATTTTGACCACTCAAATCCTACCTAAATATTACACCCCTCCACCCATCGCCCAATCCGATCTAGGTTTAGGGAGACTCCATCCAATCCAATAGGGTAAATTTACATCCAATCCGATACAAATATATATATTTATCATTTTTATTAGTTAAAATTGGGAGTTAATTGAAATATATATATATATATATAAATAAAGAAGAGTATTATTGAAATTATTATTAAATATTTAAAGGTAATTATATTATTCCAAAATATATATTTTCACTATAAATCTGAACTTGAACCCGACATCATCCTTTAAAAAGAAAAACAAACCCAATCTTTTCACACAAAAACAATCTTATAAGGTTACTAGGTTAGATCGAGTTAAATAACATCCTTAACCACATATTGTGATTTATTGAGTACCATTAGATTAATTTATAAAATATTAAGCATATAATTATAAATTAGTTAAAAATTAAAATGTAATTTAATTAAAGTACAATATTTATTTTTATAATCTTATTTTAATTATAAATAGATCAAATATTAATTTAGAAAATTTATAAACCCTAATTTATTTTTAAAACTTTGGAGTCAATGTCGTTTCGGCCGTCACCGACTAAAAAGTTATTAAATAAGATATTTCTCGTTAACCTAGCATGTTATATAATTCTTTTAACTATATGTAATGTTATGATGCTTATTTTTTTTTTTAACAAAAGTTAAAAATTTTGATATTTATTTCATGATTTTTAAAAGTAAAATAACTAAAAAGATATTTTATTATAGTGTGATAATTATTTATAAAGTTTATGTCACGGGGCTAGACTGCTGCTAGCAAGCTCGTGCGGCCTTAGTCGTTCTCGAGGTCGAAACTCGGCTAAGTAACCCAAACCTTCACTAAGCGAGAATGCTTAGAACGTTGCAAAAATAAAGGAAATGGGAAAAATAGAGAGATGGGCGCTCAAATGGAGAAGAGAGAGTTTAGAGTGAATGCTAACTGGTATTCCTCAATCTGAAGTGTGTAAATGAGGTGGGGGTGAGCCTCCTTTTATAGTTGGAGCCCCCTACAATCAACGGTTAAGATTAAATTACATCAACGGTCAGAAAAGAGCCCTACTCTATCTATAACTCTAAATTAAATAATAATTAGTGGGAATTATCTCTAAGATAATTTCAAATAATTATCATGCCTCTTCTCTCTCCAAGGTGGATGGGCCAGCTCTGCTGGGTCTTCTAGAAGGCCCAAAACGTGGCAAAGGTAGTCTCTGGCAGCCTTGAACGAACTGGGCTCGGTCTTGGGCTGGCGGTCTGTGACATTCTCCCCCACTAGTTCTAGCGACGCCCTCGTTGCGCGACTAGAGTGAAACTGGTCAATCTTATCTCGGAATTGCCACAAGGCTTCGGAAGGTTCCCCAACTTCCCTCACTCTCCGGAAGTCCCTTCCACTGAACAAGGTATTCATGCCTTGGTCGTTTTCCCACTCCATGAACGGCTCTCTCTGCGTGGATAGCTTCTACTTCTCTCTCGTATGAGACCTTTACCCCGACTGGCGCTCGGTGTGACTTGCCTCGATCTAGCTCCTCCTCATCCTGATGGTATGGCTTTAACAAACTCACATGGAACACCGGATGAGCTTTGATGGTCGAAGGCAACTCCAATTTGTAGGCCATGGTGCCTACTCGCTTCAAAACTTTGAATGGCCCCTCGTATCTTCGCACAACCCTTTGTGATATGGGTTGCGCAAGATACCACTTAATTTGGCAAGGACTAGGTCACCAACCTCAAAGTTTACATCCCGACGCTTTCGATCTGCCCACTTCTTGGTTCGCTTCCCGGCCTTGTGCAAACAAGCTCGGGCTAGTTCATGTTGTTCTTGCCACTCCTTGGCAAATTGGTATGCTGTTGGATTTGGCCCTTGGTACCCGGTCACAACCGCATTTGGTGTAAGCGGCTGCTGCCCGATAACATCTCAAATGGACTCTGATTGGTCGCTTCACTCCTCTGCAAATTGTAGGAAAACTGGGCTACATCCAACAATTTTGGCCAGTCACGTTGCGTGGCACTCACATAGTGCCTCAAGTAGGTCTCTACGAGTGCATTCACTCTCTCAGTTTGCCCATCCGTCTGTGGATGAACACTTGTCGAGAAGTTCAAGCTTGATCCCATCAACTTGAACAACTCCTTCCAGAACCTCCCAGTAAACCTTGTGTCCCGATCACTGATAATCGTCTTTGGAACACCCCAGTACTTCACCACGTACTTGAGGAAAAGACGAGCGGCCTCCTCGGCTGGACAAACTTTAGAAGCTGGAATAAAGGTCCCATACTTGGAAAATCTATCCACCACGACCATGATGCTAGAAAATCCATCGGAAACAGGCAAACCAATAATGAAATCCATGGAAAGACTTTCCCATGGTTTCTCGGGGATAGGCAGAGGCTGCAACAGTCCAGCTGGTCTCCTTTGCTCTATCTTGTCTTGCTGGCACACAAGACAGGTCTTCACATAGGCTTCGACATCATTGCCCATGTGCGGCCAATAATAGTGCTCCGCTATCAAGGCCAAAGTCCGGTGGATCCCCGGATGTCCCGCCCACTTGGAATCATGGCATTCCCTCATGAGCTCCTTTCGCAATCCTTCAAATTGTGGCACATAGAGGCGGTGTCCTCGAGCATACAACAAGCCTCCATCTAGCCAAAACTTTCTAGTCTTGCCCCCCTTGGCCAAAACTTTCTAGTCTTGCCCCCCTTGGCAAGCTCAATCAATGAAGGGGCTATCGGATCATGTGACAACCCCTCTTTGATGCGCTCCTGCATCTGTCCCGTCGGCAAACTCACAAACTCCATGTCACACCTTCGGCTTAAGGCATCGGCCACGGAATTCACTTTCCCAGGTTTGTGCTCCAAGGACAAGTCAAACTCGGCAAGGAACTATTGCCAACGAGCCTGCTTCGGTGACAACTTCTTCTGGGTTAAGAAGTAATTGTTGGCAACATTGTCTGTAAACACCACGAACTTGGACCCAAGTAAGTAATGTCGCCATGTGCGTAAACAGTGCACAACTGCAGTCATCTCTTTTCTCATGGACCGTGTATCTCCTCTCGGTCTCATTGAGCTTCCGGCTTTCATAAGCAACCGGATGTCCCTCTTGCATCAGGACCCCACCAATGGCAACGTCAGATGCATCGGTGAAAACTTCAAAGGGCTTGGTGTGATCTGGCAACACCAAAACTGGCTCGCTTATCATAGCAAGCTTGATTTCATCAAAGGCACTTTGACACTTCGGGCCCCAATCCCACGCCTTGTCTTTCTTCAATAACTCGGTTAAGGGGGCTGCGATTTTTGAGTAACCTTTGACAAACCTCCGGTAATAGTTGGCCAACCCTAGGAATGATCTCAGCTCCGTCACCTTGGTTGGCACTTACCATTCATCAATGGCTCGAACCTTGTCCCTATCCATCCAGATCTTGCCACCTCCAATAATGTGGCCAAGGAAAGGAACCTCCGTTTTTGGCGAATGAGCACTTTTCCTCTTTGACAAAGAGCTCGTTCTCTCGCAACACCAGAAACACTTGCTTCAAGTGTTCAACATGCTCCTCCAACGTCTTGCTGTAGATGACGATGTCGTCGAGGTAGACAACAACGAATCGATCCAGAAAAGGTTGCAACACCTTGTTCATCAGGGTGCAGAAAGTGGCTGGAGCATTCGTGAGGCCAAAGGGCATCACAAGGTATTCATACGAACCGTACCTAGTCACGCAGGCTGTCTTCGGTTCATCTCCCTCGGCTATCCTGACTTGGTAATAGCCCGATCGCAAATCCAACTTGGTGAACCACCTTGCACCACCAAGCTGATCGAACAAGTCCGCAATAAGAGGAATCGGGTACTTGTTCTTCACCGTGAGCTTATTCAAAGCCCGATAATCGATGCACATCCGCAAAGAACCATCGTGCTTCTTTTGAAATAGCACTGGGGCACCATAGGGGGACTTGGATGGTCGGATGTACCCGGCATCGAGTAGATCCTTCAACTGTCTGCGCATCTCCTCCAACTCGGGCGGAGCCATTCGGTAAGGAGCTCGAGCGGGTGGCTCCACATTCGGCACAAGCTCAATCTTGTGATCCACCTCCCTCTTTGGAGGCAACTTCTTAGGCAACTCGGCAGACATTACATCTGGGAATTCTGCCAACACGTGGCTCACCACGTCAGGAACTTTCTTGGTTATGGTTGGCTCCTCACACACCAAGACAGCTAAGAAGGACGGTTCCTCATTGCGCACCGCCTTCGAGAATTGAATTGCGGATAGAACTTTGGCCCCTACTCCGGGCCCTCGGCTCACTGGAACAATGCACTGTTGCTTTGGATCCAGGATGCACAAACAATCGGCAAAAGGTACTGGGAAAGCATTGATTCGATCCAAGAAACTTAACCCAAGCACGAAGTCGAAGTCATCAAGAGGAATCACCTTGATGGCTTCCGTTCCGGACCAACCTCCAACAGTTAACTCAATTCCCTTTGCGACCCCCGCAATCGGAACCTCTTTGGTATTGACGGTCTTGATAGAACCACAAGCCTTCTCGACATGAAGACCAAGTCTCTTGGCAACTGGTTCTGACATGAACAACTCGGAGGCACCGGTGTCCACTAGTGCACTCAATTTCTGGCCAGCAATGGTGATGTCAACGAACATCAACCCTTTTTTCTTTCGACCCTTCTTGACCTCCATGGTGCTAAGGATGGATCCAAGCTTTAGAGTCTCACTCTCCTCCCCATCTTTCTCCTTAATGGCCGAGAGTTTATTCTTCTGCGGACAGTCCCTCGCCAAATGCCCTTGGCCTTTGCAGTTGTAACACTGGATAATTTGTTTGTCTTTCTTATCCGAGTGCTTACCATTCGATGGCTTGCCATTGCCACTCGAATCTTTGTAAGATTTGGATGCCTTGTCCCTATCACCACTGCTACCTCGGAACTTCGGCTTTGGTTTGGAGTCCACCTTCTTGACGCCAAGCTCAATGATTGACTCAGCCGTCGTCAAGGCAACCGAGAGCTCCTTAACTCCTCGTCGCCTTAGCTCGTTCTTCGCCCATGGTTTCAACCCATCCATGAAGGTGAAGAACCCGTCCTCTTCACTCAAATTTGGGACTTGGAGCATTAGTTCGACAAACTTTCGAACATGCTCCCTCAGTGACCCTTCTTGCTTGAGACGCCTCAACTTGGATCGCGCCTCATCCTCAGCATACTCTGGGTAGAACTGTTCCTTGAACTCAGCTTGGAATTCTACCCAGGTCTCGATTGCAGCGTTCCCACGCTTCACATCGTTGCATCTGCGTCGCCACCACATGAGGGCGACCTCTGACAAGTAAACACTAGCGATGCTTACTTTCTTGGCATCCTCTGTGATGCCTGTGGCTGCAAAGTACTGGTCCAACCCCCAAAGGAAATTCTCAACATCCTGGGCGGACCTGGTTCCTTTGAACTTCTCCGGCTTAGGGATGTCACCCAAGGCTTTGGGTGCAACCGTGGCTACGCTATTCCCGAACGCAGCTTTACACACCAATAACTCGGTCTTGAGCAACTCGACCTCCCTCTTTAGCTCGACCACCTCAGAATCGGAACCCTTACTCTTGAGTTCCTCAACTTCCTTCCTTAAAGCCACTACCATGGCTTCTAAGGAATCACCTCGATCAGTTGCCTTCACATCCAAATCGTTGAGTGAATCCTGAACCTCCTCCCTGATACTCTCTAAGGATTCCAGCTTATCGAGATCCAACGACCCCAGCTTTTCAAGGTCTACGGACTCTAGCACATCCAACACTACCTTGGCTTCCGTCATGGAACCCTCGAGCCTGGTAACCTTCTCCTGGATGGACGTGAGAACATCTTTCGAGGGTGCTCTCTTCTTTCCAGCATTGCGGGTTTCATTCCCATCAAAACCCGTCGCTTCACCATGTTGTGGTGCCATCTCGAACCAACGAAAATAAAAAAAGAAATAGGCTCTGATACCACTTGTCACGGGGCTAGACTGCTGCTAGCAAGCTCGTGCGGCCTTAGTCGTTCTCGAGGTCGAAACTCGGCTAAGTAACCCAAACCTTCACTAAGCGAGAATGCTTAGAACGTTGCAAAAATAAAGGAAATGGGAAAAATAGAGAGATGGGCGCTCAAATGGAGAAGAGAGAGTTTAGAGTGAATGCTAACTGGTATTCCTCAATCTGAAGTGTGTAAATGAGGTGGGGGTGAGCCTCCTTTTATAGTTGGAGCCCCCTACAATCAACGGTTAAGATTAAATTACATCAACGGTCAGAAAAGAGCCCTACTCTATCTATAACTCTAAATTAAATAATAATTAGTGGGAATTATCTCTAAGATAATTTCAAATAATTATCATGCCTCTTCTCTCTCCAAGGTGGATGGGCCAGCTCTGCTGGGTCTTCTAGAAGGCCCAAAACGTGGCAAAGGTAGTCTCTGGCAGCCTTGAACGAACTGGGCTCGGTCTTGGGCTGGCGGTCTGTGACATTTATTATATTTTATATCAATAATACATATCGATGTATGTGACATTTATCATAGAATCATCCTATTACATGATGTTATTTATAATTAAAACAAATGAAATTAGAAATAACTTGTTTCAAAATGCAGCAATTTATTGCATCTCTTTATTCATAAAAACAAATTGGACAAATCAGAAAACAAATAGAAAAATCTAGCTTTATCTCCATTAGAAACTCAAAAAGCCATTGCATTCATAAATGTGCTTAAAACATAAAGCAGATAGCAACGGCGGTTGCTCCAATTAGGGCAATCTTGGAGACTTCCAATGTGGCACCACTGCCAGGACTAGGAGCAGGAGTCAGGGAAGGAGGAGAACCAGCGGTTAAACCTTTTATAGCACTCTCTAAGCCAGCCACACCTGGCGAAGGGGCAGGTGAAGAACTGGATTTTGAGACAGAAGCAGGAGCGGCGGCAGAAACCAAGCCAACCAATGCAATCAAAACTAAAGCAACTACAATGATTTGGCGTGCCATTTCTTTGTTTAGTAATATGGAGAAGCCGTTTATTAAAAAAGAACGAGGAAGATTAGAAATGTAGTTATTCTCTAGGGTTTATTGTATTTGTAAAAGAGAATAACTACACCATATATCAAAAAGAGAGAAGATTTATAAATTTTATATAGCAATTTTTTTTCCAAATTAAGAACATTTATTTATTCAATTGTTTTGCGAATATAACGGAAAACCATATGTTTATACTGAAAATTCTTATGACTAGTTTTGGTTGGATTTAAATGGTCTTTTAAAGGTTATTTTCCTTTCGCCTTGGTGAGAGCTATATATAGCAAATCTCATCGTCAAAGGCTGGACTATAAAATTACAGAAAATATATCGAGAAGCAAATGTCGCAGCGAATTTTATATTCAAAAGATGGAATGACTACTATACTTGAGAGGTATAGCAAACCTCATCGTCAAAGGCTGGACCATGGAGTTCCAGAAAGTATACCGAGAAGCAAATGTCGCAGCGGATTTTATATCCAAGATGGACTCCGCACTAGATGGAATGAGTACCATACTTGAGAGCTATTGTAATTCTCATCGTCAAAGGCTGGACCATAGAGTTCCAGAAAGTATACCGAGAAGTAAATGCCGCAACGGATTTTATATCCAAGATGAACTTCCCACTAGATGGAATGCCTACTATACTCTCGGCATACCCAACGCAACTCCTCAGTATTTTAGATAGACACTTCATTGGTCTCCTTACCTGCATTAGCTTTTCATTTAAATAAAAAATAAAAGATCTAACCCAAGTAGTCCAAGAGGATAAATAAATTGCCATAAGTAAAAGCATAATATGTTGATAACATATTTGATTTACACGGCATCTTTTTATTTTCATTAAAATGCATAATTTATTATTGAATATATTCTATTTGATAATTATTAGATAATTTGATCCTTTGGATCGAAGATCGATAGTTTAGATGATGTAGTTGCATATGTTAAACTAGATAGTAAAAAATAAGATAGAATAAGAAGAAAATCGATAATCGAATCTGTAGAAATAAAATAGATATTAAAGATTTTTTTCGTTGGTAAAATGATATTGTTTAAATAAATTGTTTGCATCCTACATTGGTGAGTTTCAAGCTTGATGGAAAGTTAATATATATCTATCGTCTTTGATCATTTTGAGTAATAAGGGTTAAGGCTTACACACGTGTGTTGTCATCGTTGCCTGCTCGATTCGTCTTGACACATATCTCTATTACGCTCTCGCATTTTTTTTAGCTCCAACGGCACTCCTTTATTAAAATCATGAGAGAGAGAGAGAGAGTGAATGATTGGACGTAATTTTGCACATGTCACATAAAAACCCTAAAAAACACAAGTAACTAAAAACACACTTTTACTGATATTGAAAAGACACAGCTGATGAAATGTGTCCTTTGAACAATATATGGATGTCAATGACCAAAATGACGAACAAACAAGTAATAGATAACAAAACTAAACGACTTAATTTCAAAAAGAAGGATCACAAGCCATATGTGTTTACTATGGTGATCATTTGTTGTTATATCATAGGAGATCGACGTCCAACATCACTCAAAAAGCCTAGGAAATGATAAAGATGTCTTAAGAAAACTGTTTATACATGCCTCAATAAAAATTTATTTTCTGGTTATCTGACTTTGCTCATCTAACTTCATGTCTAAATATGAGTAAACCAAACTCGTTTCTCTATTTCAATTATTTATTTATTTATTTAGTTCGACTTATATAATAATATTTATTATTATTATTATTTTATTTCTCGGATTAACATTTTGTCTAACATAATTTTCTATTTAATTTTTCTTGTTTGAGTATTCAAATAATTTTTTAACATGCTTCTATATTTGAAATTTATGGTATAATTTTTATTTGATTTTATTAATAAATTTAGTTTTGAATTCAAATTTTATTTTAATGTAGTATTTTCTCTTTAGAGTAAGTTTCTCTGTAATTCTCTATATTTTAATTAAATGTTTTTCTATATATAATTGTCGTGTCAATAACCTACTATAAAAAGTGGAGAAAGGGTTATTGGAAGGATGAAGATCTTTAAATAAAAAATGTGATGTTTTATGTTAGGCAGGAGGTAATAGAATTGCATATTCTTTGACTTCATCGGAAAATTGTGAGGTCCAACTCTATCACATGTCATCGATCGAGAAAGATAACGATGGATTCAAAAATTTAAAACTGAAAGTTAAAAGCTTGTAATACTTTTTTTTTTAATAAAACGAGTGTGTAGTTTTTTTATTCCCTTAACATGTTGAATTATATTTAAAATTTATCCAAAATAATGGGTATACATTTGACTGTCTAAAGATCAAGTGCATCCGTCCGTACGGAGAGGTTATTGCTTGTTCAGGAGGATGTTCTAGAATTCATCTAACGTAAGCTTAATTATACATGTTGCTCTATCAAATTTCATAAAAATAAAATTCAATGTTTTAAAATTAAAGTGCGAGAACTAATCTTTAATATAAAAAGAGTGCAAGAATTATTTTATATTTAATTACTTTAGAACTAGAATGAGTATGAGAAGAAGGAGAACCAGCACTACTACTATCTAGACCTGTAGGTGCAGGGGCTGGTGAAGCAGCGGAAACCAAATCAACCAAGACGATTAAGACCAGATCGAAACAACCAAGAATCTGTAAGAACGACAATGAAAAAAATGCAGTTATTCTCTTAAATCTATTCTATTAACAATAGAGAATAACCACATCACCTAATGAAGAACGAAGAAGGTTTCAAATTTTTATATGTAAATTTCAAATTCTAAATTAAAAATATTTTCTTATTCAGTGTTTTTACGTATATTATGGGAAACCATGTATTTTCAGTAAACCCGCAGAGTCACCCAAGTCCCTTTTTTCTAAAAGGAAATTAATACTTAAAAAGTAATAATATTTTATAAATGATTAAATTATTTTCCATGAGGATAAAGATTTGTGACACGTGAAAGTATAACACATTGATAACATATTTAATTTATATGACATTTAATGGGGCCTAAAGCCATCAGCTTGCATGGGAGGTTGAAGCAACAGAGATTGTAGAGAAAAGTAACATGTCAGCTGAAGGGATGGCGTCCATGGCAATCGACAAACCATACATGGTATATATTTTCGTTCGACCAACCATGGCCACGTGTTAGATATCTTGCATGATGCTGTTATTTATGTTGCTGTATTCAGATTAACTTGATAGTCTTATTGTTTAGTGTTTATCAGTAAAGATTTAAAGTTTTAAAAAACACGTAAATTTATATTATAAATTTCTTTTATAAAAAAATATTATGATCGGATGTACTTAAATATTGATTTAGGATAGTCAAATGAAAAAATATAGAGTAATATTTGTTCAGAATAATAGTTTATTAATTTTTACATAATTTACAAGTAACATGTGTTAAGAATCTTTTTTAATTATGAATAACGTGCACATACTATACAAATATAATTTGATTCTAAAATCTATGAGAATAATAATATTTTTTATTACTAAAATCACTTAATAAATTCTTATAGTAATCTTCTAATAAATACCTTAACATGATTGTGAGATTTTCTAATTGTTGGAGCTGATGGATTAACTCTTTATATTGTTTGTTGTGTAAATTGTTCGTACCCATGGAAAATCTTTTATGCCATTGTTTTATTCCATTTCATAAGCAACGGCGTAATACGAGGGCGAGAAAAGCTTCGCTGTACTTTCCTTTAGAGCCCAAACCAAAATTCAAACATATCTTTATAATTTTTTATTAACATAATTTCGGAATAACTGCAATAAGTTTTTATTCCAAAAAAAAAAGCTCACTTTCATCACTTCCACTCTTTCGCTCCCAAACAAACAAAACCCTAACTTTCTCTCCCGCGGAATCTGCCTTTCATCTTTTTAGTTTGTGCTATCTGGCGTGAGTTTTTAGGTTTACAATGTTGTGTAATCGAGCCCTTAGGTTTTAGATTTTGGATTTTAAAGGAATTTTTTCTGTGTATATCTAGGTACACATTCTATTTATTGTTGTTCATAAGAGAAAAAGGCTATGTCGGCATATGATAAAGAACTAGAGTTACGATTGACGGAGGCTGGGAACAGGCTCGTTGAACCTCCTTCATCAGTTGACGAGCTCATTCCTCTCCTCGACGTAAGCCCTGTTTACTCTTTCCATTTAGGCTTTAATTTCGTTTCGAACTTCGTTTTTTGAATGATTATTACTCTTAGGTGTATTTGATTTCATTATGCGCGCGGTTTGAATTTTGTTTATGGTGTTCAATTTTGATTTTCTGCTATCAGAGTTAGTTCCTTTTTCTCATTGTGATCTGTCATTACCTTTTTCCTAAGGTTTTCTTCTTTTTTGCATGTTTTCACTTATTTAATTCTTCTTCTGCCATTACTGTTTTGAGCTTGAAAAGTATTTTCTTTTTCAAGGATATTGTTTAACTGTTTTTTTACTCCCTTTTTTTTGTAGACGTATTGATTTGTGTATGTTTGAGAATTTGCTAAATGTCTGTTATCATTGACGGGTTTGTTTTGCTAGATTTTTAATACTTGTGAGTGACATTTATTTGAATTCTAAGGCCATGCATCAGTAAATGTTTGGATGAAATGATTGAAATTATGTGATTATTTCAAATTCAAAAAATGCGCTCAAGCAGTATTTAAATTACCGTTATATAACTAGTGCGCTTTCCTTGTCTTTATGCGGCATAATGATATTGATTCTTCCTAAAGGGGATCTCATACCAGGCTTAAATTTTGTGAAATCCGAGGAACCATTGCAATAAATTTTATCCTTAATTGCTTAGTTAATTAAGCACTAGCTATATTTGGTTACTAATATTTAACGACTAAGGATAAATTTTTATTTTCGACTTAAGATGGCATTGAAAGCGCTGAAAGTTAATATGGAAAGCATTCCTATTAAGGAAAGAGTTTGCCGGTAATGCCAGACTATGTTTTCAATGTATAGAACACTGATATTAATCAGAATATTCTTTGTTGCAAATGTCTTGCCTGTTTCCTTTGTGGGGCAAAACATGACAAATGCTACAAAAATTTATTTGCAAAGGGTAACATCATTAAAGCAGACTTTGGGGTTATGATAATCTGCAAAATTATGGTGCTATCCCCTGTTTAGACAAGCTTTTATGTGCTCATGATTCCAAGGGAGAAATGAAGATGTCGTGCAAAATGGTGTTGCCGAGGCAATATCATCCTTTGGTAGATTGTTTGTTTAGGATCTCTCTCTCTTTTGAGTTATCTCTTATTAGTGTTTTACAATTTGTTCTTGGGTATGTGTCTTGTAGAATACTGTATCAATTCCCTTTTATAATGACTTTAGAAATATGAGCTGCTTGCTGGTGTCTCAGCAGTATATCAACACAGTGATGATAGGGGCGTAGATGCATGTAAATTTGTCTTTGTTTGTTTTCTTCCATTTTTGTCTCCCTGTTTTACAAGGTGATGTTCTTTTGGTATTGTTATGTTGAATTGTTGATATGTTTATCCCCAAGACTAAGCTTCCAGTTGGCTAGTCTTTTCGAAGAACCTTGTTTTGATACATAGATGCTTTGTGAGTAGTCCTTAATGAATCATGGTACAACTGTCTGATTTTATAGAGTTTTCGGTAATTTAATAGTTTAATATCACTTGTCTTTTGCCTTATACTAGTGCTTGTTAATGGATGCCTTTTATGTCGATGACGATTGCTTACTCTTCTCTGTCATCTATAATTCTAGCAAGTTGAAAGTTGTCTTTCAAGGGTGGAACAATCACCAAATGAAGCAATGCAGAATGCTCTCTCTCCATCACTCAAGGCCTTGGTGGCAGACCAACTATTGAGACATCCTGATAATGATGTCAAAGTTGCTGTTGCTGCTTGCCTCAGTGAGATAACAAGGATAACTGCACCAGATGGTCCCTATGATGAAGACCAAATGAGGGTATCTGAAATACATCCTTTTGCTGATAATTATCACTTTTAAATAATTTTCTGCATTTAAAGTGTTGTGTTCTATTAATATGTGCAGGAGGTCTTTCAATTGATTGTATCATCATTTGAAAATTTGTCTGACAACTCCAGCTGCTCATTCATTAAGAGGACTTCAATTCTTGAAACTGTTGCCAAAGTCAGATCGTGTGTGGTGATGTTGGATCTTGAATGCGATGCATTAATCATTGAGATGTTCCAACATTTCCTTAAGTCAATAAGGTAAAAATTAACTGCTTGATTTGGGAGTTCATTCTCTTGATTGCATTTGTTCATTATCATAGATCCTCAGCTATTGTCTCCCAACATCTGTCCGATTTTTAAGTTTTCAAAGTTCTAGAATATTTTTTTTTCTTTTTGAAGTCTTCTTTTAGTTCTTTGACTTGGGGTCCTCATGGTTTGAATCTATGTTATAGCTGGAACTGTTTTCTTATATTAAGTGATGAACAACATTGCCTCAAATTCTTAAATGTTGGTTTGAATTGATAGACTGCATTATAGGGTTTGAAAAGGTTTTGCGGAGCAGGTACCTGCATTAGTTTTGTTTATAATTAACAAAGTCCAAGTGCTATTTTCAGAAAACATGCCTCTCTTCCCCTTTTTCAGTTTTTCTGTTTCTTTACCTCTCCATAAAGATCCTTTCTCAATTGCCTTTATGTTTAATAAAGGCTTGTTTCTTTGGTTCCTTATGATTTGTTTTTCAGAGATCATCACCCAGAGACTGTCTTTACATCTATGGCAACTATTATGACCCTTGTATTGGAAGAAAGCGAAGACATCTCTGTAGAGTTGCTCTCCCCAATTTTAGCTTGTGTAAAGAGGGATAATCAGGTATGCTGTCCCTACTTTTTACTTCTCTTCTACTATTGTGTTTAGTACTCATTGGTCTTCTATTTGCTCTCAGGAAGTTCTTCCTGTTGCTCTGAGGATGGTAGAGAAGGTGCTTGGGAACTGTGCATTAAAGTTGAAACCTTACCTAATGCAAGCTGTAGAGAGCTTGGGCATTTCTTTTGATGAATATAGTAGTGTAATTGCTTCTATATGCCAAGCGGCACCTAGTGCTGTGGATCAGAAGGATACTGTTGCTGAAAAACTTGGGGTAAGGAATTTGCTTTTGTATGCCTTGTTTGTTGAACTTGCACATAATTTATTCTCCTTTCTTGGGTGAATTTTCTGTAAGATGATGAGAACAAACCAGTAGAGTCACCTTTGGATAAGACAACCCAGGCATGTTTTGTTACTTGTTTTTATTGTCAATTGTCAATATTTCATACGTGTCACTGTGTGTGCATGCGTGGATTCTAGTGCTTCCTCTTGTTAGAATTTTATACTGGAAAGTCATCATTTGTAAATCTTCAAATTCCCTTTCAGGAGGATCAAGAAATTCCTGAAGAAGCAGTTTCTACCGAACAAGTTGGTCTTGCAAATGAAAGATCTCCCAAGTCAGTTGTTAGCAATGGCACAGTGCAAACTGCTGAAGACAACTTATTGACTGATTCGAACTCCATAAAGAAGCAAGAGGATGACCATCTTTCTGACAAGTCCAATAATGATAAAACATCAACAGTTGCTGGAACTGATAGACTGGTAGCTGAGAACTTGGTCAATTCAGATTCTAGGTCAGAGGAAAGTACCCTGGAAACGGAGAAGACATCTGATTCAAAATTAACAGAACCTTCTGATAATGTTCATGTCGATGAGAAGGAACCTGAGACTTCACTGGACCCTATAAAAGACAGCAAGGATGACGCTGGTTCATTGCGTGGCGATTTGTCTGTTGAAGGGGCTGTATTCTCTGAAAATGAACAAAAGACAGATGCACAGCCTTCCTCACCAAAACCAACTGAGGACTCTACTGATGTTGCTTCCCCAACACCAAGTGGGGCTATACCTGATGAGAGTCATTCCGAAAAGGCTGCACTGCCAATGACTATGCTTGATGAGAGTCATTCCAAAAATGCTGCACAGCAAGGACTATACCTGATGATAGTCATTCCGAAAAGGTTGCGCAGCCGATGACTATACCTGATGATAGTCATTTTGAAAAGGCTGCACAACCAATGACTATACCTGATGTGAGTCATTCTGAAAAGGCTGCACAACCAGAAAGAAAGGAGGGCTTGAGTGAGGAGACCATGCCTTCTTTCCAAGATGTCCATAAGAAGGTAACTGAAGGGATGAGTGATTCAGAAGTAAAAACAAATAGACTATCAGGCAAAAAGGTTGCCACTGTGGTGTCCAACAAGGTTAATGATGCTGATGATGTGGATGAAACTAAGAAAGAATGTGGCAGTGCAAGCGGTTCAGAGGCAAAATCAAGGACACAATCCTCAAAGAAGGTAGATTCTAGTAGTAATAATTTAGATCGACCCTCAAGGCAGCTGGAGGATAAGAAAAGGAGAGCTCGGGGGAAAGTTATTCCTGAGAAAGATGGAACAAAAACCGCAACCATGCATTATGACGAGGTGCTTAATTTTTGGCTTTTAAGTTGGCTATTCTATCAAGATTGTTTATTTAAAGCTTCACTATGTATATATTTAGCTCTTCTAGTTGCTTCGGTCTAGGGAATCATTGTCTTGGTATTTGTTTAGGAAGTGGTCGCTTCTCCAAAGTCAGTGAAGCCAAACAAGCACGATTCTCACATGGAGGAAAATCTTAAAACATGTTCCAAGAGAAAGCATACCCCAAACAAAGAAAAAGTAAGTGTCTTAGGTGCAAGTGTTGAGATGGCATTTTTTTTTTACTTTTATGTGTCTTTATGAATCTTTCAAGATGATATTTTTAAGTGGTGGTATGTTGTAGTTTTGGTCAGTTGCATTATAAATAAAGTTGGGATTATAGATGGTCTTTATGACTCTCCTTATGAGTTTATTTTTTATAAGAATTTCAGGCCTCGTTAAAACCCCCCTTCTTGATTAATGGAGCTAGTAGGATAGCTCCTTAATCAGTGGAATGAGGAAAAGAGTGCCTTAGGATTTTATTGAACATAAGAAATTACATTAGATACAACCTGGTAAACACCCTTAACAGAAACAGATAAACAGGAAACAACCCTAAACCACCCATAAACAACAACACTAGTTCAACCAATTCCTTCTTTAGCTAAGACATCAGCCTCTAAAATGGCTATCCTATTAACCCATCTAACAACACATTCTAATGCAATAAAAACCAACATTTACAAGCAAAAACTAAAATAAACGCCTATGAATACAGTTGCCGAGCAATTAAGATCCAATTGAAGGAACAAGTTCTAATGAAATATTGCAATCTTCGGGGACCCAAGAATTAAGTTTGAAGGAAGGATCAACTTCATGCACCATGATTTTGAATAAATTATCGCCGACCTTCAACTTCAACAACTCATCAATTCTCCCTTGAGCCTTTGTGAGTATTTGAATTTTAGCCTGATCAAAAGGCGATGGAAACTCACAACTGTTGTCAATTGCTAAGAATTTGCCCCACTTAGTTGCAATGTTTTTGAAAGTATTCCAATTCCAAGCGTGAAAAGGAATACCTTCGCAAACTAATCAGACACAACGACACTCCACCACTAGGCTTTCTGACCAAGTTTCCACTCTGGAAAACCATTCTGCAAGAGTCTCTAGTTTATCATCCTTCACGATTCTCAACGAATCAGAGTCTTCAAAAGCATTAGAACCATATTTCCAGCAGCTCTCATTAGCGTGAAGCCAGCTAGTCCTTTGGCTTGAATCTAGTTAGCAAGATTACCAATTTTGATAAAGTTCTTGCACCACCCCACAAGACAGTTACTCAACACGTGTAGTTTATCTTTATCCACTACGCCCTCAACTTCAGAGAGTTTATTCCTCGAAATATCTTCCATCCCAGACTTTAGGTGTACAACTGTCGATGACTTTCTCCAGTAAGACAGCTAGGGTTTATATTTAGCCAAAGAGACTAACTTTGCTGCCGTAAATATGATTACCATTCATCTTTGATATCGCTATCCTGGCTTCCTCAATTGTTGCATAGCGAATAAACCCAAAACGAACCCCTTTCGAGTTTCCTTTTTTAGGAATGAAGGCATCAATAACTTTACCGTGTGTGCCAAATATAGACCCAAGGCTCTTCCAATGGATCGTCTCTGGAAGGTTTTCGATAAATATCGTGTAACAACCATTTCTGAACCCATTTCCGGTTCTTGCTTGACCTTCCTTCGACGAATTATGAAACCCATTTCTCCTTCTCGTTACTTCGAAAAACTTTTCAATGGAGTGCCCTATCGTGGTGCTCTCCTTGGTTCCATCAAGATCAATATCAGCGATAGGAAGGGCTGGTGTTGCTTGTACTGCAGAAATCTTTCCGACCTTATGTTTCCCTCCGGACCTCACTGAATAAGTTCCCAAATTTTGTTGATTTTGGAGCGTAGGAGATTGTCTGTACGTAGTGCCGTCGGGCTCAACTGTCCAACCAACCTCACGGGCCAAGGCAACCAATACATCATTTATTGCAGCATGCAGGGGAAGAGGGAAATTACCGTAATGCCTTAATCTGGCTAGCATACGTCTGGTGAAAACTCGCCTGTGTCGTTTCCGAGTCTTTGTCCTCTCATTTTCTTTCTCCATTGCACGTGTTTCCTTACCGGAATAAGATGAAGTGGTTGCACCGGCGAGTCCAGAGGTCTTGAAAAACCTCACTCGTGCTAATGCATTCTCCAACCTTTTAGTTCATGTTCCCGCTTCTTCAAATCAGCCACTTGTGCTTTAAGTTCCTTCACTCTCGCTTCTAAATCCTTGGCAGAATCAAGAGAAAAATCAACAGAAGCACCACAAAAATATGGTTCATGAGGGAGTGGAGAAAATCTTGACGTTGAAGGAGGAATAGTAGAGTGACTCGCAGAGGAAGCAGCCACCGCGTCTGTTGCAGCAAACCTTCGAGGATTCCTGGGCTGAGACGGGGGTTGGGGTTCCATGGTGAGGTCTGGAAATAAACAAAAAGTAGGAGGTATTTTCTACCGAATCAGTTCACTGGAAATAAATGGAGAATAGAAACGATTCTCGACACTTGGATAGGGGGTTCTGGTCGCGAGAAGACACTGAGTCTGGTGGTGAGGCGGTGTTGATTACGGACGGCGGGAAGCGGCTAAAAACGGCAGAGGACTTAGTTAAGATCTGCGTTGATTGAATGTTTCTATCACAAATCTAAGGCCACATTTGAAATCACCGTGGGCCGGCGATCTTCCCAGGAAAAAAGACGGCGTCAAAACGGTGGTTGGAGTGTGGCGGCGGATGGCGGCGGACAACTGGTGGATGTCGGAGGAGAGAATAATTTTAAAAAAACGCATGGGCTAGGGAAATTTGAAATCGACTAGGTTAGAGAGAAGCTGAAGCTTCTCTCACTAACACGTGATATAGCAATTATTGGCTTTGGTTATCTTTCTCCTTATGAGTTTGAACAGACAGAGATTCTCCATTGTCCATTCTAAGCATTTAAGCATTTAATTTTGGTTAACCTTTCTAACCTTTTCTTTTTTCATTTTCATCTACTTTCTTTCTTTCATAGTATTTGCCTCATTCCTACTTTTAAGCGCCTCTTCTTTGTGTGTTTCTAAAATGCTTTTTTCAAAATGATGCATATCTAGCAACAATGCAGCTTATATGCTTTCTTTGAGGTCATTTATCTTTCAAGAGGCCTTTGATATTTCCACAAGTTTCTAGGGCTTTTTTTCTTCTTCTTGGGACAGTAATCCTACAATGCTGATTTTATTCCTTTATAAAAAGTACCTGATCACTGGTTCTTATGCACTAGTATTGCATGGGCGTGGATGCTCAGTTTTGTATCTCCCTTTGCTGTTTCTCGAGATCATAACTAGTTGCCTTTTCTCTTACTTTATGGAAAAAAAAACTTGGAGGTTATAAGCTCAATTAACTTTGTATGGGATATTGTAAATCTTTTATTTGATGCTGTCCATACAAGCTGCAATCTGAACAAAGTTGGAACAATGATATTTCATATACCTCTTCTGGAGACGGTTGATATTTTCTATCTTTACGTTTCTTTGACAGGCATCTGATTCTATGGAATATGGTGAGAATCTGGTTGGTCTGAAGGTGAAGGTCTGGTGGCCCAAAGACCGTGCGTGAGTATAATATTTCTGCATATCCTTGCTTTATATTTTACAAGTTTTACAGAAGTGATACTCTGGAATGAAAACTATTTGTTTTCCTTTCTCTGATACGTGTATGCATATCTGGGCATCTACCTTAATGTGTGCTTGTCTATCGTGTACCCATTTCTAGTTTCCTTGCTCATATATGTAGTTACCTCTCTCCTCTCCTCGCCTTCATTGCTTAGTATTTTGGCTCAAGGTTAATAAATTGAAACTTATCTGTAGTCTTACTCCTTAAGACCTTGTTTATAACCTTGTTCTTGGGCACTTATATTTGCTCTGAGAATATTGACTAATGGAGCGTTCACTTTTAAATGTCAAGCGTAAAATATAAGATTCAAGTGTGTAAAAAAGGTGTTGAATATGAAGATATAAAACCCCATGAAAGATGAAACCATCGACACAAACCAGTGGTGGTTAGTGAACCACCTGTGGTTTCCACTTTGCAGCAAACAGAAGGCCTACAAAAAAATTGAAAGAGTAAGGTAGAAGAAAAAAACTAGAATATGATAATACAAAAACCAAAATCAGACACCAACTTTCCTACCTATCATTTATGAATGGATTGAAACCAACTTTATCTTTCTTTCTGACAAAACGGTATCTCATCTCCTTGAAGTTTGTGCCGTGAGATTCAGAATAGAAAGAGTAAATTACTTAATTACTATTGATGTTTTCTCAACCCTCAATTACCATTTTATTGTTTATTTGTCACTTGTTTTTTTTAGCATTTTACTCGATGGGTAATCTAGTTTGTTCTTCATCAGACCATTTTTTTATTGTCTAGATTTTTATTACTCCTTTTTCTTGAATGACTTTAATCAGGGATCTTAATCATGTAAGTGCGCCTATATGGGAGATTTTCTTTATATGAAAACTTGAACCATGGTTAAATTTCTCTCCCTTTATGGATGCTATTGTTTTGCAGATTCTATGAAGGTTTTATTCATTCGTTTGATGCGGTTAAAAAGAAACATAAGGTGAAACATAAAATAAGACAGAAGTTACCTTTTGCTGGAGGTTCTCTCTCGTAACTATTCATGTGAAAATGTGTTATTTTTTTTTATCATTTTCATTTGTCTATAGGTGCATTATGATGATGGTGATATGGAAATTTTAAATCTCAAGAGAGAAAAGTGGAAGATAATTGAAGACGAGTCTGAACCAGATGAGGTGGGTAATTCTCTAATTTATAGATAATTAGCTTTTACTCATTTCATGTTTTAGGTTGCTAATACTTCATCGGTACAGGAAGAAGCAGCTAACAATTCAAGTCCTGACGGATCATCTGAAACGTAAGTGATTCCTTTTGTGTTTCATTAATGTTAGATTTGGCCGCATCACAGTCTCTGTTCTAGATGGTGTCTGTGCATCTTTTTTTTTTTGATAAGATTTGAAGGCCTCATTAAAAACCTCCTTCTTGATTAATGGAGCTTGTATAGAAGCTTCTTAATCATCAGAAGGAGGAAAAGAGTGCCTTATAATTTCATTATAGAAAATAGAATTACAACCTTGGAACAACTATTCCAAAAAACCCTTACAAACAATACAGGAGCCAGAAAACCAAACTAAAGAAGCCAACAACATAAAAATCAACGTATACCAGCCTTTGCTAAACCATCAGCATCCATATTCGTTGTCCTTGCAATCCATCTAACAACCCCCCGAAAGTTCTAAGACTATCAACAATATCTCTAACAATAAAACCATATACAATTGGACATGAGTCAACATTATTTATCCAGTCTACTGCAACCCTGCAATCACTCTCAACGATCAGCCTATCTTTAACCCTCCCTTGAAAAGAGGCAAAGAAAGAAATACCCCTTTGAATAGCTTTAAGTTCCTTCAATGTTGGAGGTCCTGAACCAGCAGGCTCCTGAAAAGAACCTAGGATTGCACCAGATTGATCCCTCATAAGACCTCCAAGACCTGATTCCTTCCAATCACTGCTAGTGGCTGCATCCACATTTACCTTGACGAAACCCATAGGGGGAGGTAACCAAGGGATTATAGAAGACTTCAAGAAATTGTAGGACGAATAGGAATCTCCTATAGAAGGATCAGAAATTAAAGAGTCCTTAGTAATAGAAACATCCTTATTCTTTGCTAGAAACCAAGAGGCCAGCCTAACTCTTGTTAAGAAAAATAATTCAGACTGATCAAGCTTTCTCCCTTCAAAAACAATAAAATTTCTGATTTTCCAGATTGACCAAATAACAGCCCCAGGAATGAATGTCCATATTGCAGAATTGGATTTCAACTCATCCCAAGCTAGAAGAAAACTTTTTGCTTCTGCAGGAAACACAGAACTAAACCTCCAAAAATTTAGAAATTTGTTCCACAAAGACCACGCAACCGAACAAGAAAAGAATAGATTCGATGAAGTTTCTTCAACCATTCTACAAAGAGGGCATAACTCATCCTCAATACCTTGAACACCTCTTTTAACCAATTCGGTTTTAACAGCAATTTTGTGAAGCACAATTTGCCACACTAATGTTTCAACTCTAGGGGGAACCAATCATCTCCAAACAATTTTATTCTAGAAATGAACATCTTCTGAACCTGATCCACACCTCTCAACACAAGAACCGACTGTATAAACACCGTCCCCACTACCTTTCCAAATCAAACCATCACTTTTTTGATAAGAATGACAGGCCTTCTTAAAAACCTCCTTCTTGATTAAAGGAGGAAAAGAGTGCCTTAGAAACTTTATTACTCCTCCGAAATTACATAAGATTTAACATAAACACCATACTGAAAAAACACAACAGACTAAGCTACTCAACAGACAACCAAAAACCTAAACTCAAACGATACAACGCACTGGAAACGACTAAACATCAACCAATTCCCATCTTTGCTAACCTATCAGCCTCCCCATTACACACCCTTGGAATCAGTCTAATTGAGTGCACCCTGTCCGAGATAAAAGATGAAATCTCTTTAACTAATGGGAGGATAAAAACAGGGGCCAAAGCTGGGGTATGGACCCATTCCACAGCCGACTTACAGTCACTTTCCACAATCAACCTTCCAACCTTAACCCAACAAAGACATATAGATTTCAATGCCTCTCTTAATAGCCTTTAACTCAGCAACCGGCGGGGGACCCTGACCTACATTTTCTGAAAAAGTCAGAAGGGAGTTGCTATTCCAGTCTCTCAAAATACCTCCTATACCTCCATTTGAGCCATCAAGTCTAACAGCTCCATCGACATTCATCTTCAAAAAATCCATAGGGGGTGGAATCCAGCGAGAAACCTGAAAATTGTTAATGTTGAGAGCTTTAATACCATCTGCAAGAGATGGATCAAATCAAACCATCACTAGAATCAAGAGATAGAGAAAAAGAAGAAATGATGCTCACCAAATTACACCATTGTTCAAGCTCCCAATCATTTAAATTTCTTCGAACTTGAACATCCCAAATCCAGCCCGAAGAAAGAAATTCCCCAAACTCACAAAGTTTACCGTATTTATTAGTAGAAAGCGAAAACAGTCTAGGAAACATAATCTGAAACGGAAAATCAGCAGCACAGCTGTCTTGCCAAAATCGAACATGCTTACCATTTCCAACGTGAAAATTGCACAAACTACGAAATTTAGAACCAAAGGAGTCTTGTTTGTAATGGTTATTAACCACTGATCTCCATAACCAGGAAGATTGAGTAGAAATCTTGCTATCAAACAATAATCTAGGAGAATCAATGTTGTATTTGCTACAAATAAAATTCCTCCAAACATAACTTCTCTCATTTGCAAACCTCCAAGACCATTTCCCTAGCAGTGCCCTGTTCATACAAATCAGATTCCGAACTCCCAAACCTCCCTCATTCTTTGATCTGCAAACATCATCCCATTTAACCCAGTGTATCTTCTTATTACCATTTCCCCCTCCCCATAAAAAATTAGACATAATTGAATTTAGAGACTTAAGGATAGAAGCTGGAATCTTGAACAAAGATAAAAAATACGTAGGCAGTGAGGAAAGAACCGATTTGATCAAAACCAATCTCCCTGCTAAAGATAGAGTAGCAACCTTCCAACCTGCTAATTTAGAGTGAAAATTCTGCACCACTGGTTCTCAAATAACAGAGGAATTCTTAGTAGCACCTAGAGGGAGGCCTAGATAATTAGAGGGGAAGTTTCCCACTGTACAACCAATAGAATCTGCCCAAGTCTTAACCTCCATTTGATGCATGCTTCCTTCTTTAGCAATGTGATTGTCATATTCGGTGTACCTTTGCATTTGCTTGTTGGGGCTCTCTGGTCTGTTTCTGTCTTCATATTATCGTCTAGGCATACTACCTCCTTTACCCCTTGTTTTGATTTCCATGGACAGACCTCAAAAGAAGAAAGCAAAAACAGTTAATCAGCCAAACAAGAAAACTAAGATGGATGCTTTGCCAAAAAGGTTACTAAATTCTTTCAAATGGAAGTTTTATGTGATTTATTCCGTGGCTTTTGAAAATCCTTGCATTTTGGATGGACAGGGGTGGAGGAACGTCGGTTGGAAAATCCAAGAGCGCTGTCACGAAGTTTGGTCGCAAGACAAAGGAAGACGGTAAAGTGGATGGCAAATCCAAAGATGTCCCCAAGAGTGTTAGTAAATCAGACGGTGACAATGTTACCAAATCCAAGGATCATAAGTCCAGAAGTGGCAGTAAATCAGTCGATGCCACTTGGAAAGTAGGCGACAAAACCAAGAATGAGGACATTGGTGACACGCCCAAGTCTACCAAATCCAAGTATGATGGAAGAGTTAATCCAAAAGCCTCCACAAAGTCGAAGCTGGACACTCCAAAGGCATCCAAGTCCAAGAGTTCCTCCAATTCTAAGGGTAAGCCTCTTAAAAGCAGTGGGAAATCTAATACTAATGGTACCAATAAGTCAAAATCCGGTTCATCCAAGGTTGAAGAAAGTGAGAGCATGAAAGAGAACTCCACGGATTCAGCAAAGGTTGTGGAAAGTAGGAAGCGGAAATCACCGAGTTGGAACAAGGCACAAGCAAGTGATGCAGTTTCTGGAAGAAAGCAGCGACAATGAGATGAAAACCACCTCAGGCTCAGCTCCAATGTCAGTGCAGAGGGTTGGTTATTGTCCAATGTGGAGTAGAATGGTTGAATGCAAGTATTTTATTGCAGGCTGTTAGATATCCACAGCTGGCCATGCATTTGGTAAATGACCAAGTTGTTAGGGTAGCTAATACCAACAGTTAAATGCATTTGGTTTCTTATGGGTAGAATTAATTCCTGTTATTTAAGGTGGCAGGCAGTATTGGGATAAAAATTGGGTTAGCGTTTAGTTACAGAATTGGTTCAATAGATAACGTAATTGTGTTTCAATAATGTGTTTTGATGCACGTAATAGGGATACAGATTGGTTATTTACTGATTGGTCAACAATAGCGGCGAAGCAGTTGGGGGTTCATACAATTACACACTGACACTCAAAGTGGGCCCCTCCCACACACACACACACTTATATCAACTCAATTCCCTATAATGTAGAAAGGTACTCACCTTTTTTTTAAAATTTAAAACCCATTTATTAATTCAATTTTGACATTTAAATTTCATTTTAAACTTTATATAATGTCAATTCGAACTTTGAATTTCAGTTAACGTGGTATGTTAAAATTAATACTTAATATTTTGTTTGTTTTTTTAACTTCTTCCTAATGAGTAATATAATAAAATTAATTTTGTTATACAAACATGATCGTTATTTAGCAACATAATACTGATAAGTGTTATGCGATTGAAATAGAGAATTTTCATAACTGATAATATTTTATAATCATTTTAGATTAATTAAATTTTTTTGACATGATAATGTCTAATTATAATTAAAGAATTAAATAAGATAATATATTAATCTAAACATGATAATATTTATTTTATAATAACAGAAAAAATCAATATTTTATTATTTTTATAAATTTAATAAAATTAATTTAGTGAGTATTTTAATGTTGTCAGAAAAGAAAAAAAAGAAAAAGAAGGGTGTGAAGGACAGTTGCGTACTTGTAATTGACACCTGCTCATTCTGCATGGAGGAGAGAGACATTGAAGGCAGAGAGAAGTGTTTTATTTGTTAAGCAATAAGAGCAGATAGAAGTTAAATAGCAAGATTAGTGAATGGTAATGATGAATAGAGAGAACGGATTTCCCCCCTTTCCTGGGTGGTTAGGAAAAGTGGAAAACCCTAGAATGGTTTACAAGGCCTTCCTTATTCCATAAATGGGGTGTTCATTGTGATGGATCTTTTTTCCATAAATTGGTGTGATCCATTCCTTTTATCACCCTTGGCTTTAGGTGGGTTTCTTCGTTTTGGTGAAAATCTTGGTTAGTTCCTTTGTTTTAAGGTCTTGCTGGGGATATATTGAAATTGACAGAAGAGAGCGAGCCCACAGAAGCATTTGTATAAGACTATACATTTGTTTTTGGGTGCTCACTTCTCTTTCTGTCAGCTTCCAGTGCCCGGGTTTTCATCACCTTCTAGGCCTGTTTTGTTCCTTTTCACTAACCTACTTTGCCTTCTCTCTTTATATACATTAGAGCCAAAACTATGAATATTGCTTCACGTAATCCATTGCCTGTTACTAGGAAAATACCCTTCTCTGGTTTACTTGTTCTAAATGCTATTTTCTTCTTCTTCACTATTAAAGCATGCCATCATCTCTTGGCTAGTGTTTATTTTCGCCTGAATCTACCAATTTGTTGCCTTTAATTTTGTAACACCGATTGCACTCTAGCGTGTTGCCTGTTTTTCTGTCTGGGAATGGATGCTATATGCAGGTAGTTTTCTGTGTTAATTTTGTTAAATGTTAGTGTATTTGCAGCAGGTTTGGGGTTTCTGATTTTATGTTGTGTATTTACTTGCGTTAATCTGCAATATTAACATCATTTGCACTTACCCACCACATATAATTATAAATATTATCATTGTAAAGTGTATAGAATCTCACATCCTCGGTAAAAATCTTTTGATTTCGAAATAGAAACATTTATTGCTGAGCTTATAAAAGAGAAATTAAAAGGTGATCTTGCATGCACACGAAGTTCGGATCATTCAAATAGGGTGATTTCCTTCCCTGTATGCAATGGCAAGAGGTTTTGATTTGGTTTAATTTCATTCTTTGATCTAGGAGGATACATGTTTAGTGAGATAACAACTTCTACTACTTGCTTCAAGTAAATCTTAAGAACAACTTCTACTACATGCTTCAAGTAAGTCCAATGAATTCTCAACCTCATCTTGGACCAATCCTCCACATTTTCTTTACGAATCCCTCCCCAAAATGTAAAAATTCAAGTTTTACACGTTTTTTGGATCGTTGAATTATATATATAGAAAGGAGTTAAGATCACCTTACGCAGTGTAAACATTTTAAGTTTTAAATATATTTTGGATTGTTGGATTAATGAGTTTAATGGTCGAGTCTAAAACTTTCAAATTAGGGATAATCCCTTTTACCCCTTAAAGATCTCCTTGTTTCTCATTTTAATGTCAATCATCCATATGCATTCATCCGATGATTCAAAAAATTTGTGGGTTTAATCCAAATTTATTCTAGTTAATTAGTTTGAGTTGAGTAATTATAGAATTTATTATCTGTAATGATTGATGTTGATTATAAGTGTTGATTTATTAGTTGAGTTGAGTTGAGTGTATTTCATACAATCTTACAACTTAATTGGTAATTTAATTTATCCATAGTTTACTTGTATTAAATCTCTACCTCTTGATGAAACCAAACACTTAAGGCCAACGGAGTGTTAGGTCATGGTTATTCCAACATGTGGGAGGCATATAATATCATTTAATTTAGGAGTTATGGGTAGTTTAGATAGCGTGAAAAAGATGGAACACCTTGGACTTGTCAGAACCCAACATGTTTAGACTTGTCACTGGATTGATTCATGAAAATTTGCATAATTTCAATGAATAATAGGAACCATGTGATTTTGTAGTATAGGGTTTTGAATTTGTTCATGTTTATGCATGACTGCACTCTACCATGACTCAATGAGATCACGTGCTAATCTTAACCTAATTGCTTAATTTCTTGATAGATGAAAGAGATTGTGTTGCTTCTCCTCCATAACATGTAAATGTAATTCCAGATTGCTTAGTCCTTTGGTCATAACCCTCATGCTGATTATGCATCATGAATTGTCTTCTTTCCATGGCCGTGGGGGTGAACTATTTGCAAATCTGTTCAAAGCCAAACTCAAAGAAGACTTGGTCATAAACTACTTCCAACAACTGATAAGCGCCGTCGATTTTTGCCATGGCAGAAGCGTTTCGCACCGAGATTTGAAGCCTGAAAACCTTCTTTCAGACGAGAATGAACACATCTGATTTCGGGTTATCGTCTTTTTCCGAGCAGGTTCGTAATGATGGGTCCTTCATATGCTGTGTGGGACACCGGCTTATGTTGCCCCTGACGTTTTGAGGCGAGAAGGGTACGATGGTTCCAAAGCTGGTGTCTGGTCTTGTAGGGTTATCTTGTATGTTCTTCTTGCTGGTTTTCTGCCTTTTCAAGATGCGAATGTATAGAGAAGTTTTCAAAGCGGAAATCGAGTTATACCGGAACTGGAGCCATTGATCTCAAAACAACTTGTGGCTGACCCTGAGAAAAGCTCAAAATTCCAATAATGCGTGTTCCATTGAAGAACCTTTACCAGATCATGTCGAGGATCACGAACTGTCGTCTCCGAAATTCTTCAACGCATTCGAGTTCATCTTGTCGATGTTGGATTTTTCGTGTTTGTTGGAGCACAAGAGGAAATTGAGAACGTTGTTCACATCGAGATGTTTGGGTAGTGCAAGTGGAATGTGTTGTAGAGGGGTTGAGCTTCAAGGTGGGGAAAAGGTTTGCCGCTAAACCAACTTACACATATTTTAAGATATCGATAACGTTAGTCTTTAGTATCCGTGCATAGGGTTGGTTAGTTTTCTTTAATATTTTTGACCAATAACTAAAATAAAAGATGCAGTACGATAAGGTCCATAACAGTAATACTATAGGATTTTGGATAGAATTTGAACCACAACTTTAATAATCGATCTGTGACTTAAATTTTATTAGCCTACCTGATTTATGTTCTGATTTCATTTTCGATATTTTCTCATACATACAACATTTAAGGAAATGTTTGTTGGTCGGCCATTTATTGGAAATATTAGAAAAAGGTAAAAAATCAAAATTTTCCTTCCAAAATGAAACCGCCACACTGTTACTTTATGTCAATCTCTTTAAATTGTTTCTCCGTCGTCTATTCATTCCCCATTCTGCTGCAATCTATGCGCTCCGCAGCCCATAAATATCCAAAGTTCCGTTGCCTTTGCTGGATTTAAGCCTTTTCGTTTTACTACCCCTTAGTTCAAATCCAAAAATTTCCCTCCGAGAAGAAAGCATACTTCTCATGGACTGTTCCAGAGGATTTAACTGCTCCGCTCCATCGCTGGAACGCTTCTCGTTTCTTCTCCGCCATTAATCTTCCGAAGATGAAGAGGACTAATGACGAGAGAAAAGACGACGACGATGACGTGACACCTCCTAATCAAGTAATCGATAGTCCTGATTTGTCATCTGGTGAGTTTGTATTAATTTCTTACTGTTTTACAGCAATGTTAAGAGTAATGTGTATCGGTGGAATGGAAATTAATTATACAAATGGCTATTCGTATGAAGTTTAATTTCATAGGATAATATTCTTCGATTTGTTTTGTAGGACAATGATTTATTTTTTAAATTTATAAATATCCAATTCTAGATAATAATTTGTTGATTATTTAGTTTATTCGATAATTTTATAGTAAATCGAATATTAGTAGAATAGTTCATGTTATGAACTGGATTGTTACCATTCTCTGTTTTCTTATGGGAACCAATTCGAATGTTTATAATTTGATTTTTGAGTTCCAAATTCTGTTTTTTTCTTCTTTTCTTTAAGAAGAAACCAAAGAAAAATGCAGGCGGGAAGCTAATTTGAACGTGGCGATAGGGTGTTTCTTGCTGCAACTGGTTGCGGAGAGTGAAAATGAAGTTGAAAAGACGAGGGAAATGAGAATCGAAATGGAGAGTGTTGTTAAATATGTAAAAGATGAGCTTCGAAATAAAGATTTATTGGTTGCCGCTAAGAGTATGGAATCAAACGAGGAAGGTTTGGACATGGAGAACATAATAGTTGATCATCTGCCTTTGAAATGTGATGATGTGCCAAAACAACAAAGTTGTCTCCAGGGAATGGATAGACTTGAAGCAGAACTTGAAGTTGAGTTTGAACGTTTACAACTCCATTTCCATTCAGCCAGATTGTCCACACATCAGGCT